CGAGCCACGGGCTGCTAGGTAGCTGGTGGCGGCCGTGTGCGGGCATGTCGGCGAGCCTGTCCTCCTGACGCTGATGTCCTGGCCGCTGCCGTTTTGGCTCGTCTTTGTCACACGCAGGCGCAGCTCCACGCGGTTTGGGTACATGGTCGCATCGCTGTACTCAAGGCCGGCGCCCCGTGCTGTGAAGGTGTACTCGTTGACTCTGAGCAGCCCGTGGAAGGCCAGAGTCACGGCGCTCCAGAGCATAGCGCGGTTGTGCGGGCTAGGCACAGTGGACTGCAGGTAGTGCTGTACGCCAGCCAGATCGTCCAGTCGCGGCCGTTAGCACTTTCCGGACTGCCGTCTGGGATCTCAGCGCCCCCTGCTGGAGCAGCCGGACGCGCGGTGAGGCGAAAACATCCAGGCAGAGGCCCTGCAGGACGTGCTGATGTCTCAGCGCCTGGGTGTAGAGTTTCAGAGACGAGCCAGACGAGCCGGACGAGAATTTCCAATTCAGAAAGTTAATCAGGCTGGGCTCCGTCACCGAGTACGGCGCGACCTGCCGTAGGGCAGCAAAGCGTTCGTAGGAACGCTGCACTGAAGTGTACGTCGCGCTGGAGCTGTCTGCCAGGCCGTGACGGATGAGCTCCATGGCTGCGTCATCAACTGATGGAGGGTGGACTGCGCTGGTGGTGTAGGCGCTGCGTCGGCAGTTGGGTTGAGGGTCCGGAAGCGCCGTACCTGCAGACGGGAGAGAGAATCAGCAAGATCATTGCAGTGTCCGGCGATGTGGCGAAGCAGGAGGACAATGTTATGCTGGGCGGCTTTCAATAAGCCGGCCCTGACCAAGTCCATGACCGCTCTATTTGGGGACGTGCCAGAGCGCCAGATGTAGCAGATTGCTTCGTTGTCAGTGTAGAGTAGCACTCGTCTGTCCTCCAACGTGTGTGCCCAGGTACAGAGGGCCAACATCACGGCGTACAATTCTTTCCATTCAATAGTGTGCTCAGCTTGGTCAGGAGACCATGCGCCATAGGACCACTTGCTGCCGAAAACCAGACCGAAACTGTGTCGACCTGAAGCGTCGGTGTACAGCCCGATGTCTTCGGCTGTGCTCCAGGACGGCTCGATGAGGGGCTTCCGACCATTCCATTGGCTGATGCAAGCATCCCACCACAGGATGTCAAGCTTCGCCTCCGAGGGTACGGCTACCGGTGCATCTAGGCTAGGGAGCGTTGCTGCGCTGTCGAACAGGCGTCTGCAGAACGTGCGACCCGCTGGAATGACTTTGGCTGCGAAAGACAGGCTACCGGCCAGGGACAGCAGTTCCCTCTTGGTGCACATCTGCTTCGACAGCCACGCGGCAAGTGCTAGCCGTAGTTCTGCCAGTTTCGCAGCCGGGAGGCGCAGCTCCCAGGCGGCTGTGTCGAGCTCGATACCCAGGAACGTTATTGAAGTTGACGGGGGGCACACTTTGTCCTCTCCCTCGGCCAATGGGATGTTCAGCATGTCAAATACAGCCAGCAGTGTCTTGAATTTGAGCATAGCTGCGGAGTTGGGCGGCTGGACGTGAAAGAAATCATCTAGGTAATGCAGCAAATCAACAATATCGTAATTATTAACTGCAATTCATGCCACAGCGTCGGCAAGTCTGTTGAACAGAAACGGGGAGGATCTGAGGCCAAATGGTAGTACCTTATCGACATAGTACGAACCTTCCCAAAAAATGCCAAGTAGGGGCCAGTCGTCACGGGAAACAGGGCAGAGCCGGAAGGCGTGCTTCATGTCAACCTTAGAGAGGAGAGCTCCGGGGCCATGCTGGAAGATGCAGCGTATTGCGTCATCTACCGTAACGTAATGCAGGGAGAATTCGTCGGGGTAAATGCCATCGTTAATGCTAGAGCCGCTAGGGGCAGATAAATGCAAGATGAGGCGTACGCCGCCAGACTTCTTGGGCACGATGCCAACGCCAGAACATCGGATATTACAGTCCATTCAGAAAAAAATGAACTTCTAGCTTTTGGCCATAAATGGGTCAAACGTTGAGTTTTTTTAGAATTTTTTTCTGCAATCCCATATGGAATCCTCTTCCAATTATGTTTCTGAAGTTTTTTTGTCCAAAAAGCAAGCCATAGCAAGAATAGGATTTCGGCCAGGTTTTGCCCCAAAAGCACTGAATTGGGAAAAACCATCAAAATCCAGGCCGTTTGACCCCGCCTGCAACAGTGCATTCTGCGGTTCGAACCCCAGTTCAGGCACCCTTTTTGGACCCTTTTTCAAATTTCAAAGTTCGCAGCACCGCACTGTGTACGATGAAATCACGAAAAATCGCCAAATACGGGAGCTCGCCAGAGCCAGGACCCATTTTTTTATGAATGGACTATAGGGAACGGGGGTTAGGAATAAGGCCCGGCCATGTGGCCGCGCGTGCATTCAGACTGAAGGTTAGCAGAGACGGCGGCAGGGTTGAGCAATGCGGAAGGGAGATTAGGGGCGATGAGGCGGGATCTATTACCGTGATAGCCAATGCGGGCCCCGAAGCGCATGTCGTGACAGAGAGAATGCACAAAATCGTTATCGGGGTGCTGGGATAGCTCTTCAAACAGCAGGGGAATATTTACAGGGGACCAAGGCGCGTGTGAGCTAATTGGAGCTGCGGGGTTGGCCAGCAGAGCATGTGGATTGGCCATGACCGAGGCGGCCACAAGAGAGGCAGCTGTGGGCGAAGCGGCAGTTGGAGCGGACGCACTTTCCTTGATTGAAGAGGCGGCATACTTCTTTGTCGACCGTGTCGTTGCCGCTGCTGGGCCGAAAGGAACGAGCGTCGTTGCTGCTGTTGGGCCGAAAGGAACGAGCGTCATTGCTGCCGGTGGGCCGAAAGGGACGAAATGCCCGCGCGTCAAATATAGCTGTGTATAGGTCCTGGACTATTGCGTCCCACTGCATGGTTGGGTCCGCGGCCAGGAGTGAGCGGAATGATCGGTCATACTCCTGCACGGCCTCAAATCGAAATTTCCGGGCTACTTTCAGGATAATCTGCTGGTACGCAAACAGCTCTGGGGCCCTGGAGGGGTGTGCTGTGGCGTAAATCGCGCAGTATGTTGTCCAGGCGTCGAGTCAGGTGTCGATGTCCTCGACTTTCCTGGAGGGCCTGTTGGCCGGTGCTAGGACCACTGCGCCGTGCGAGCTGTCGTGGTCGATCTGGAGAATGCTGCGGCTGGTGTCCCCTTGGGACGGGTTAGGCAGCAATGAGCCCAATCCAACAAATTGGCCAGTTACTACTTTATCGTGAATGGCTTTCGGCACGGTTGCATAACACGTTCTCTTACCTGCATGGTTCATTGGCGGTGAGACGGCAGCCGCCAAATGCGGAGCAGGCAGAGCGTCATGCGGAGTTGCTGGTGCTTGCCGTGGGAGTGCCGCTGCGTGAGTTGACGGTGGGGGTGCCGCTGCGTGAGCTGCCGACGGGACTGGAGCTGCGGCCTGATTTCCAAGGGCAGCACGGACCTCCTCCCGGATAATGTCCCTCAGGGACGGAGCAGCAGTTGCCTGGGGTAGGTTCTGCTCGGCTGTCTGAGTGGCCAAGTCCTCGCGCAATGCAGTGAACTCCAAGGACTCGAGCAGGCGAATCAACAGCCTGGGTTTGGTCCCCGTCGTGTCTAAATTGCGGGCCGCCAGTTCCTGTCGCAGCTCTACAGAGCGCATTTTCTTGGCGTCGTTCACTGACAGAGATTCAGACATGGTTGCTCGGAAATGGAAAGTGCTCAATGCTCAAAAACTGGCCAAGGTTGTCAAGCGATCTGACTGTTGGCGCAGCAAGGATGAAGAAGAAACAGCATCGAGAGCCGGAGTAATGCGCATGCTCCGCGTGGTCCCGTGCCGGAGCACGGGAGTTCGGAGCGCGGGAGTTCGGAGCGCGGGAGTTCGGAGCGCGGGAGTTCGGAGTGCGTGTTCTGCACGGGCACGTGATGCGCTATGGCAAGTACGTGAAAATTATGTTAATAATGTAATTGTTGGTGGGTTGCTAACTTCACTTACCGTGCCATGCACGGAAACTTATATTTACAGGCCCGGTGGAACCGGTCCGGTTCGTCAGGCTAGGGTCGGACCAACTTTTCCTCAAGTTAACTGTTATGATTGTGTACCGTATTTCCTTGAACACCCGCCGCTCCTTGATTACCATCCGCCCTTGAATTAGCGCCGCCAGTTTATTTGAACTGAGGGTTATTTGTACACAAGTACAGAGCAGTTCACAATTTATACGCAATTTCACAGCTACGAGATGACCTTCAACTATGATGTCATACTCCTTCACATGCAGCTAGTGCTGCTCTCTGTTCGGACAAAGGACTCAAAGGCGATCTAAAGAAGGGAACAAATCGAACACGCCATGATGATGACCTACAAAACCAAGAACTCAGATCGGAGAACTTGTCTGGTGACGTCTAGGAGAAAGTGGACACTGACGCTGTGAAAGAAACGAACGCAGAAAGAGAAATCACACGGGAGAGAACAAAACTTGCGCGTCCTTTTCTATTATTGCATCAAAAATTGTCAGCGTCGACGTCTTCTTGAAGCTCTACTACTTCATCCTCGTCGGCATGAGGGACTACTGCTGCTGAACATGCAACTAACTTGCTAGTCCAGCCTCAAGCTCCCTCGCCATGATATTCTTTGCAGTGCAACAGGAAAAGAAAAGAAGATGCACTAGCCTACAGCGTAGCTGGACAACAACGGTTCAGCAGTGCACATCGCATGTGAACTCTACCCATACAGCACGCACATTGTGACGTACAACTATTTTTCAGGGCCGCACCCGTTTTGCTAGTTTTGAATACAGGCCGCGGCGGCTGTTCAAGGAAATACGGTATGTAATATTACCTTCTGTGAAAACTATTTATCCATTATCGGGGTGATATCCTTGATCAGGGTGATGTGTTGCTTTGATACCACCACGTGTGTTTAGTTTGAGACATGTGTGTGTTTATGCGTGTGTTTGACTATGTGTGTTTCTACTGAAGCGTATGGTTGGCCAAGAAGGGTCTCTAAGCTTGCTGGAAATCAATGTGATTAAAGTCATTCTCTGCAGGTCAGTGGTCAGTGATCAGTGGTTGGCTCAGCATACTGCTCTTTGTTATGATCTTGGACTCTCCTCCATAGTGCCAAGTGTATTTTAACTTTAATATGACAATAAAGTGCCGTGTCTTGTCTTTAAAAGTACGTGTAGGTCACCTCTGCCTTTGTCTTGACCATTGAACAATAAAAGGCATTCTCTGCTCCAAATTTGTTTGCACGAGCATCAGCATGCAAACCCAGCTCCATCACACACAGCAGCCATTTGAACATGCGGTGAATGCAGACCTACTGCACAAGACTTCTTGCCATCGCTAGATAATGGCGCCATGCGCCTTGGAAGTAAGCCAGTACTGTAGCCTGAACTTATTGTCAGCAGTGCATAAGATTATGGCAGAAAACTAAGGCAATGGCAGCTTCAGCATTTGCTAGGCTGCAGGAACCATGCTTTACTACTTCGTTTTTGAAGCACAAAAACTCGCCAAGCGAAGAGTTATAGGCATATAGACCAGAGCATCATGAGTCACAGGACTACAGTCTGCAGCGCACACTACAGCGGATAACGGCAGCGCACACTACAGCGGATAATGGCAGCGCACACTACAGCGGATAACGGCAGCGCACACTACAGCGGATAACGGCAGCGCACACTACAGCGGATAATGGCAGCGCACACTACAGCGGATAACGGCAGCGCACACTTAGAAGACAGTTGACCGGGGTGGGTGGGTGGGTGTGCAGCTGCACACTTGGCAAGAAGAAAAACAATGATCTGCAGAATCACAGCAACAGCACTTTCAGCCACAGCACACTGCCCTCGTACCCGTTCCATACGCACGTGCAAAAAATATTAACAGAGAACTAGATTTCTCGTTTCTTTCGCTTCGCTCAGCCAACAAGAAATGAACATTTCTCTGCTCCAAATTTGTTTGCACGAGCATCAGCATGCAAACCCAGCTCTATCACACAAAGCAGCCATTTGAACATGCGGTGAATGCAGACCTACTGCACACGACACACAAAGCATAGCCGAGTTTAGAACCTTATTCATGATAGGAGCAGGAAAATCGGTTGAGGTCGCCGAATACTTTGGTTAGTCCTGACTTGCGCTGTCCCCGTCTCTCTTATACCCCTCGGCGGCAGTTCACGTCTCAACGGGTAGATCACTACCCCTCACCAGCAGCCACAGCAGCGTCAACAACATGCAGTGCTGCCAAACTGTCCGATTTTTCGGACAGTGTCCGTTTTTTGTAGGCTTTTCCGAAAACCGGTCCGAAAAAGGAAACGTCCGAAAAGCAGCCAAAAATGCCACGGATCAGTACTTTCCTATGGAGAAGTCCTGTATTTTCACTTTTCATACCCTGTACCTGGATGGCATGTAAACTAGTCTGTACAGTGTGTGATCACATCATGCATTACAAAATCCATGACAACTTCGAGGTACTATATCGGTTACCATGGTAACGAAGCGAATTTTCATGGTATTTTCGGCAATTTTTGAATTCTCTGGAAAAGTTTGCTGAGAAGAAAAATTCGCACCCTGTGGCCAGCCTCGGCGGTGAAGGCTGTCCGATTTTGGGCGAAAATTATTTGGCAGCCCTGAACATGGCACCTGGTGCCCGGCACTTCGGATCCAGGATCCCAACAGCCTAGCGTAGCACCCGGTGCTACCTGTAGATATAACATACAGCACGCAAAGACACGCAGAACTTCCGCAGTAAATGTTCATATAAACTCTGGAGGGTTGTATTGTATTCACAATTTATGACATCGGACGCAATACGACATCAGTCTAGAACTAGCCACACTGAGATATTATATCAATCAACGTATAAAATATATAACATAGCTATGATGTCGAATATTGCTGCACTCCTCCACGACGTGATCGTATCATTGTTACATTGGCCGCCGATTTTGCTGGCCAGCGGCAGTCGGCTGCTGCGTGCAGACTTTGACAAAATGCCCTGGCTGCCCACATCTGTGGCACACCGGAGGGGGCCGAAAGTTACCTGGCATATGCTGAATGGGACCTGGATGTGGACGAGGTGGGATCCCCACCCCCTGCCCTGCCCTGCCTGAACATTAACATTGACCGCACCTAGGCTACGCACACCTCCTGCCACTTTCTTTTTTACCCCTTCTGCTTGGATTGCGGCCTGGAGCCGCTTCTGCTTTTTGGAGCCTGTAACCAGGTCCATGAGCAGGTTGCCTCCTTGGAAAGTAGCCGCCACCTGGTGGCCATGGTTTTCAGCAACAAGCCGCTCCTGCCTCTCTCTTAGTACACGCTCACCTTTTTTTCGCTGCCCTTCTCCTTCTTCTCTTTGACTTCGACTTCATTGAGGCAATGACGTCTAACAGTTCCTCGTTCAATGCAAACTGCTTTGCATAACTGGTCGTCTTCCAGTTCAGCTCCGTGGGCGTTCCAGACTTCCTTTTTTGCCTCGGCGAGCGGGATCTTGAGCTCGACTCTGAGGAGGACGAAGACGAGGACGATGATGATCTTTCGTCGGGGGAGTTTCCCACTCGTCTTCTTTTCAACGACCTGCCTCGTTCTGCTAGCCTTTCCATGCCTCTTTCCAGCATTCGGATCTTCATGCCTAAGAGCTCTTGCTCGCTATCGAAATCCGTGGCTGCCTTGGACGCAGCAGCGCTAGCTTGTTTATGAAGCTGCAGTTGGGGGTGCCGAGGCCCGGTGTTCCACTGCCGTTTCGTACTCTGATGACAACGACGTGGTTCCGAACTTATCGGAGTCAGGAAACTCAAATACAGCTGAGGCACAAGCGCCTCCTCTCTTGCTTCTACCTCTACCCCGACCAGAGTTCACAGCTTTTACTTTACGACCACTCATGTTGGCAACAGGAAAGAACAGCACCAGGCCGATCTACACGACGACTATGACAGAGAATTTTTTTGGGCAGCTGCACACTTGGCAAGAAGAAAAACAAATGATCTGCAGAATCACAGCAACAGCACTTTCAACCACAGCACACTGCCCTCGTACCCGTTCCATACGCATGTGCAAAAAATATTAACAGAGAACTAGATTTCTCGTTTCTTTCGCTTCGCTCAGCCATCGAGAACTGAACATATCCAGTAAGTGGTGATGTTTCGCAGTGTCCACAAAGAGATGATTGACATAGAACACTCATGGAGTAGAGACGGTAAAATGTTCCACTGCAACTCTCTAGTGTTACTGTAAACTTCTTACGATGCAAATGATCACATAACCTTACTTTACTGCCACTTCCCATCTCTTGTGACTTGTAGAGTTATGTACCCTTTCCCCACGCTCTCTGCCCCATCCCCCCCCCCCCCCATTCTCCCCGCCCCTCCACACCCTGCCATCTCTCGAACCTTTCCCCATCCATCTTGCCTATCCTCACACCTGCCCGTTCTGTAGAAAACGTTCATGTTTGTCTTCTGGTGCTTTTGCTGTGGCTATGCTTTGCTGATTTAGTGGCCTTTACCCTAATCTGGCAGTGGCTGATGAGTTCAACAACTGGAAACGAGATTCAGATCACGTATTTCATTCCAAGGTCAGTTAACATTCAGTCATGGATTGACTTGTCAGAATGGCATGACTGGTTAACATTGTCATGGATTACTTTGTCAGAATGACATCACTTGTTTAGCCTTAGCCTTGGCAACTTCAGAGTGGAGACATTTTAGCATGCTGTCTCCACTGCAGCTTTGTACTGTAAGGCTCTGCAGTGTCGACTACACGTAAATGTACAGCAAAGCCCTGCTGTGTTGAGTGCACTTATGTACAGCATGGCTTTTCAGTGTTGACTGCACCTGAAGAGAAGGAAATAATTTTAAACTTCTGGGCATAGCATTTGACTCGCAACTGTCCTACTCAGCACACCTCCGGTCCGTGGCCTCAAAGGCTGCCCAACGCCTACACTTCCTGAGAAAGGTTGCACCCTTGTTGGACTCTAGCGGCCGCACGGCAGTCTACAAAGGCTTCGTGCGGCCAACAATGGAATACTGCTGCCTGGTGTGGATGGGGTCATGCACTTCCAGGCTGGACAAAATACAGCTCAAGGCACTGAAGGTGATTGGCCCAGGCGCCTGGCTCCCTAGCCTGAAACACCGCCGACTGGTTGCTGCGCTTTCGTTCACTTTCAAGCTGTCCTACCTTCCAACAACAAGTCCCCTGAAGCCCATCCTCCCACCTCCAGCCAACCCCCGCCCAGTGGGTGGTCGATCCACTAGGTTAGCCACGGAGACTGCCCAATGCCATCCGCTCCAGCTCAAGTCGACGCTGCCTGTGTGCATTCGTAGCAGCCTCCAGGGTTCCTACCCAGACTGCATTATTCCCTTGTGGAACAGCCTACCAGCGACCATTCTACCAGCATGGCTGCAACCCAGACAGCTCCAATCCTTCAAGGAAAAATGCAACAAGTATCTGCTGCACCTGAACTGGCAAGCAGCCACCGACGCCCTATGAAACGGTTTAGACCAGCGCCTCACTAGCATCCTCCCCCCCCCTTACCACAATGTGACGTTATCTTTCACTCTGCTTCTCTCACGACCATCTGCCCATTGTCCTCGTTCCTCACTACTATTCATTTCCCCTTTTCCTCACCTCCTCATGGGGGGGGGGGACTTTCAATGTGAAGAAGTTGGTGCGACTTCGGCGATAGTAGGGCAAGAGTGTGTTGCTCCCTACATGGCAGAGTGTGTTGCTCCCTACATGGCAGAGTGTGTTGCTCCCTACATGGCAGCTCGCGGTTTTCCTGACTTTCGTATAAAATAAAAAAAAACTGCACTTATGTACAGCATGGCTTTGCAATGTTGACTGCACTTATGTACAGCATGGCTTTGCAGCACTTACCGTACTTCCGCACATATAAGCGCACGGGCTTATATCCGGATATAAGCCCCCCCCCCCCCCCCCCAAATGTAAGCGCATGGGCTTATATGTGAACACAATTGATGAAACACTCAGGAGTTCATTGTGGTAGCACAATGGTATAGAACACAGGAAATGCTTTATTTCCACTGAATAGAACATTGCATAAAACATGTCAACTGGCGGTTCATCATGAACACTGCCACAACTCAAAACCAATCAAAGTTGTCACCACCAGACTCTTCACTGTCTTCAGCGGAATGGGCACTGCCAGACTCGAACTCCTCACCACCAGACTCGTCGCTGCCAACAGCTTCATTGTGGTCAGACTCTCTACCACTCAGCAGCACTAGTTCATCTCCGCTCATGCTGCTGTTGTCGTTGTTCCTGCCGGTGTCTATTTCACTGTCATCGGCGGATACGTCGTCGGGGAGTTCGCCATCACGCACTTACTACTGCAGTGCCGAATGCAGGTCATCCACACCACCATTGGCGGAAATTCCGCACTTGACAAATGACACTGCAATCATTTCCTGGGGTACCCCATCCCAGGCCTTGACCACCCACATCGCGACGGTGTCATACCGAGCACGTTTCCTCTTCCCTGATCTGGTGAACTACCCCTGTCCCTTCTCCAGCCACTCATCCCACTGCTGGCGCACGTTTGACTTCATAGAGCGATTCCATGACACATCACACGGCTGAAGAACACATGTCATGCCACCCGGAATGAGCTCAGTGGACGTATTGTGGCGAGTCTTCAGGTCATCCACAGTCGGCTCATGAGAGTGACTGCGGTGGCGGTCCATGACAAGGACTGCTGGTGTTCGGAAGATAGAGACAGGCCTGCTCTGCCACACCGTCGGGCACACGTTCCGGATCCATAACTTCATCAGGTCCGTAGTCATGCTGCCTCCCTTCGACACCGCGACAAAACAATCACGGGGGAAATCTCCCCTCGGCACATTTTTGAGACCCTTGAAGATTAACATCGGTTTGAGTTTCGTTCCGCTTGCAAGTGCAGTGAGCACAACCGTAAAGTGAAGTTTTTCGTACCCAGTTGTCTTGGACTTGACGGTTTTCACACCTTCGAAATCGTAGGTCTCATTGGACGGCATATCGAACCAAAATGGCCTTTCGTCCATGTTACCTGTGCTGATTGCATTGCTGACATCTTTGATGAAGGTCTTCGCACTCGTTGGCACGTTCGATGGCATTAGCTGACCAACTGATGTGACGCGACGGGAGACGAGCTTATGACGACGGAGAAATCGTGACAACCACCCTGTAGAAGCACTGAAAGGACGCTGGTCCTCGCCATACAGATCACGAAATATTTTGTTCGCTTCAGTTCGGATAGCTTTCACATGCACTGCCAGCGACGATTCGCGCTTCTCCCTTATCCAAGACGCCAGCAAGTCTTCCATGTCGGGAAAGTGGCAGGCGTTCTCAGCACGCGGGATCCTCCTCCGTTTCCTGCCAGTATTAGAGAGGTTCCGCATAACGTAATTACGTTAGTAAAAAACGTAGTCGATCTACGGAAAGTCTCACGTAAACTGCATGCGCATCTGGGTTCCGCCATACGGAGTTTTCAAATCACGTAGCTGCCCTGGGCAACTCCGAGTGCGGCAGTGTACTGACCAGATTGACCTGGGAAGAGAGTCATAAATTTGTACCTCAATCCACTTACGGACCAGCTACTTTACCAGAGCCCTATCTACGTACTCTCCGCAGACAACTTTCCGTAAGTGGAGTGCAAACTCGCGAATTCACGGGGTTTCCCGCCCACTAACGTAAAGTTGCTCAACTTTACGTAGTGCGGAACCTCTCTATTGCCATGCTTTTTCGCACGACGATTCTCATGGCGAATACTGTCTTCCTGCTTCACCCAACGTTCTATCACACGGCGAGAAATCGAAAATTCACGAGATGTTGCAGAGCAATTTTTCTCCAGCTCATGGTAGCGCTTCAGTACCGGAAGCTTCTTTTCCAGGGAATACGACTTTCTGGACGGCATGCCCGTCAAGCAAATGAAAACTACAACTTTCAAGCACGCGTTCAAGACTTCTAATTTTTCTGGAAAATGAAGCGCATGCACTTGTACCCGGACATGTTTACACAACAAAAAATCTTTTTTGCAGCAAATTTTCACTTATAAGCCCATGCGCCTACATGTGCGGAAGTACGGTATGTACAGCATGGCTTTGCAGTGTTGAGTGCACTTATGTACAGCATGGCTTTGCAGTGTTGAGTGCACTTATGTACAGCATGGCTTTGCAGTGTTGACTGCACTTATGTACAGCATGGCTTTGCAGTGTTGACTGCACTTATGTACAGCATGGCTTTGCAGTGTTGAGTGCACTTATGTACAGCATGGCTTTGCAGTGTTGAGTGCACTTATGTACAGCATGGCTTTGCAGTGTTGACTGCACTTATGTACAGCATGGCTTTGCAGTGTTGACTGCACTTATGTACAGCATGGCTTTGCAGTGTTGACTGCACTTATGTACAGCATGGCTTTGCAGTGTTGACTGCACTTATGTACAGCATGGCTTTGCAGTGTTGACTGCACTTATGTACAGCATGGCTTTGCAGTGTTGAGTGCACTTATGTACAGCATGGCTTTGCAGTGTTGAGTGCACTTATGTACAGCATGGCTTTGCAGTGTTGAGTGCACTTATGTACAGCATGGCTCTGCAGTGTTGAGTGCACTTATGTAAAGCATGGCTCTGCAGTGTTGAGTGCACTTATGTACAGCATGGCTCTGCAGTGTTGACTGCACTTATGTACAGCATGGCTTTGCTGTGTTGAGTGCACTTATGTACAGCATGGCTTTGCTGTGTTGACTGCACTTATGTACAGCATGGCTTTGCAGTGTTGACTGCACTTATGTACAGCATGGCTCTGTAATGTTGAGTGCACTTATGTACAGCATGGCTCTGCAATGTTGACTGCACTTATGTACAGCATGGCTTTGCAGTGTTGACTGCACTTATGTACAGCATGGCTTTGCAGTGTTGAGTGCACTTATGTACAGCATGGCTTTGCTGTGTTGACTGCACTTATGTACAGCATGGCTTTGCAGTGTTGACTGCACTTATGTACAGCATGGCTTTGCAGTGTTGAGTGCACTTATGTACAGCATGGCTTTGCTGTGTTGACTGCACTTATGTACAGCATGGCTCTGCAGTGTTCAGTGCACTTATGTACAGCATGGCTTTGCTGTGTTGACTGCACTTATGTACAGCATGGCTTTGCTGTGTTGACTGCACTTATGTACAGCATGGCTCTGCAGTGTTGAGTGCACTTATGTACAGCATGGCTTTGCTGTGTTGACTGCACTTATGTACAGCATGGCTTTGCAGTGTTGACTGCACTTATGTACAGCATGGCTCTGTAATGTTGACTGCACTTATGTACAGCATGGCTCTGCAATGTTGACTGCACTTATGCACAGCATGGCTTTGCAGTGTTGACTGCACTTATGTACAGCATGGCTTTGCAGTGTTGAGTGCACTTATGTACAGCATGGCTTTGCAGTGTTGAGTGCACTTATGTACAGCATGGCTTTGCAGTGTTGAGTGCACTTATGTACAGCATGGCTTTGCAGTGTTGAGTGCACTTATGTACAGCATGGCTTTGCAGTGTTGAGTGCACTTATGTACAGCATGGCTCTGCAGTGTTGAGTGCACTTATGTAAAGCATGGCTCTGCAGTGTTGAGTGCACTTATGTACAGCATGGCTCTGCAGTGTTGACTGCACTTATGTACAGCATGGCTTTGCTGTGTTGAGTGCACTTATGTACAGCATGGCTTTGCTGTGTTGACTGCACTTATGTACAGCATGGCTTTGCAGTGTTGAGTGCACTTATGTACAGCATGGCTTTGCAGTGTTGAGTGCACTTATGTACAGCATGGCTTTGCAGTGTTGAGTGCACTTATGTACAGCATGGCTCTGCAGTGTTGAGTGCACTTATGTAAAGCATGGCTCTGCAGTGTTGAGTGCACTTATGTACAGCATGGCTCTGCAGTGTTGACTGCACTTATGTACAGCATGGCTTTGCTGTGTTGAGTGCACTTATGTACAGCATGGCTTTGCTGTGTTGACTGCACTTATGTACAGCATGGCTTTGCAGTGTTGACTGCACTTATGTACAGCATGGCTCTGTAATGTTGAGTGCACTTATGTACAGCATGGCTCTGCAATGTTGACTGCACTTATGTACAGCATGGCTTTGCAGTGTTGACTGCACTTATGTACAGCATGGCTTTGCAGTGTTGAGTGCACTTATGTACAGCATGGCTTTGCTGTGTTGACTGCACTTATGTACAGCATGGCTTTGCAGTGTTGACTGCACTTATGTACAGCATGGCTTTGCAGTGTTGAGTGCACTTATGTACAGCATGGCTTTGCTGTGTTGACTGCACTTATGTACAGCATGGCTCTGCAGTGTTCAGTGCACTTATGTACAGCATGGCTTTGCTGTGTTGACTGCACTTATGTACAGCATGGCTTTGCTGTGTTGACTGCACTTATGTACAGCATGGCTCTGCAGTGTTGAGTGCACTTATGTACAGCATGGCTTTGCTGTGTTGACTGCACTTATGTACAGCATGGCTTTGCAGTGTTGACTGCACTTATGTACAGCATGGCTCTGTAATGTTGACTGCACTTATGTACAGCATGGCTCTGCAATGTTGACTGCACTTATGCACAGCATGGCTTTGCAGTGTTGACTGCACTTATGTACAGCATGGCTTTGCAGTGTTGAGTGCACTTATGTACAGCATGGCTTTGCAGTGTTGAGTGCACTTATGTACAGCATGGCTCTGCAGTGTTGAGTGCACTTATGTAAAGCATGGCTCTGCAGTGTTGAGTGCACTTATGTACAGCATGGCTCTGCAGTGTTGACTGCACTTATGTACAGCATGGCTTTGCTGTGTTGACTGCACTTATGTACAGCATGGCTTTGCAGTGTTGACTGCACTGCTCACTGGTTAGTACTTGTCCATACTTGATGAGGTTCTGTGTATTACAAAAGAGGTATAAAGAGGTATATTGAATTATAGCTGTTTAAAACCTGTATACTGTATCCTGTTGTGGATGCCTGTATTGGCTTCGTTGTTTGTCGTTTGTCTTTGCAGTCCAAACAGTTTGTATTGCTTCACCCAACATCGGTGTTCTCCACTCAACCAAATCTTCTTGTGCCATCTGAGGTAAGAGTGGGGAAAAAGGAATTTGTACAAAAGTGTGGCTGGCCTTTTGGGCATGCCGTTGGCACATGAGTGACATGACCCATGGCTCATTGCAAGATAATGTACTATGCATCCAGGCAAAGATCTGGGGTCTGGAAATTAGGGGAATTCCGAAGGGTCCTTTGTACTAAGGGCAATATCACAATTTTGATCTTCGAGGAACATGTTTGCCGATCGTAATTTGTCCAGACGTGTTTTTTCTTCATTCCACCTGGCTGAGGTGTTGTACTTCGAAGTGCATTTCACATGAGGAGATGGGCGAAAGTGGGCTAACGTGGAAAGTATGGCCTGGTCTTGGTCAGATCTAAATAATATTTTAGAGCCATCAACTGTCAAAAATCGACAAAGAAACAGGGTACAAACGAAAATTGTGAATGACGGATAATGTCTTGCATGCACGCAACCAGCGCCAGAGCTGGCGTTGTTCTTCACATGGAAAAGGAAAACCGGCTGAAAATGCAACGTTACGTTTAGCTGTATGAATCCCGTTCTTCAGTGTCACCAACTTGTGCACCTGCATATGTGCTCCAGGCGTCAGGCGCCCAGCCTCCCCACCCATCCTGCCATGGCTGGCTATAATCGCCCTCACCTCCTCCTTGATTGGCCTTGGCCATGCGTGTGTGCCATCGTCTATGATAAAGAGAAACTGCGTGAGGAACAATAAGTGGATTCCTTTTCAACAACTAAAACGGAAAGTACCCGAAACAGGCAATGACGATTTTCCAACACGTGTCATCATTTCCCGCCACTGCGTTGCCTAGGTGAACCAGAATTACCACTGGCTATTCTCAGCACCCTATGTGAATTGGATGAATCGATTACGATCTGATTCCAGGGCTTGTGACATGAAAATTGAACGACTTGAAAGCCCAGTTTCTATTATGAGGCGCACTCAAAGAGGGCTTCGAATATATGTAGGACTCAGTATAGAGTCCATGCACTATATGATGTCCAGCACCCTATATAGAGTCCATTGGTCCAAAATCCACTATACAGAGTCCAGGAGTCCACTCAGTTTTGATCAGCTTCATCCTGCCGCGCAATCCCCTATAAGGAGTACACTTTTTCTACAAGTCCCCTATTCACAGTCCAGAAGTCCAGTTTATCCAGTCACGCCGTCCTGTGTGTTGTGCCCGAAAGAGAACAAACACATTTTCAGTTTTGCTTGCCTCGTGGCAGCGTATTCCTTTCTTCACTTCAGCCATATGGCCATGGCTGCCAGTTCTGCTGTGCAGTTGCTGACAGTAATCTGTCTCGAGGTAACCAAGGAGGATAAGGATACGTTCAAAATCAAATCTGGAAAGCGTCTTGTGGTTCTCTGAAGACGTTTCATCAGTGCGCGGGATGAAAGCAGAAATTGCAGAACGAGAAAAGTCATTCAAATCTGACGAGTCAGGTACATTGACGCTCTCTTTCGTTCGACGCCACAAGGATCCCCTGTTTGGCTGGCCATTGCTGCCAGTAAGACGTTTGAACGGTTTCATCAGAGCGAGGGATGAAAGCAGAAAGCGGAGAAAGAGAATAGTTCAGCACAGTTCCAATCTGACGAGTCAGATACACTGACACTCTCTTTCGTTCGACGCCACAAGGATACCCCTGTTTGACTGGACAAGAGCTGCCTGTACCACCGTGTCAAAAGGCTGTCCAACTACATGGCAGGACGATGACTGAGGTAAGGAAGCTTTTACTCGTTTCGATTGGTCTGCTGTTCTGTCGTTATGCTTGAATTTTTTTCCATTTTCAAGGAGCGTATCGCGTTTGTATGATGTTGCTTGAATGAATGCCCTAAAAGTAATCAACCACTTCGTAATAGTCCTCAAGGACTGCAAGGACTTTGCATCAATCGTATGATGATCGTCTAGCTATCATCAATTATTATTTTATTTCATGAGAAATGTATTTTTATCTCTGTGATAATTATGTGAACTCTACGACACTCTTCTTGTAGTATGATGTCAAATACAATGGGATCGACAAACGCAGTGCCAGTGTACTAGTAGTAGTAGGACTAGAGGATTGCTTGTATGCCAATGACAAGAAAAAGCTTCTCAAGCTAATACTCGTATTCCCTGAAGTAACCGTTTTGATGTCACGAACATGACATTGTGTCAGTGAAACTGCCTCGTGACAACAAATCATTGCATTTCCATCTTGGGGAAGACTGACTGACAGCAACGCTGTACAGATTGTTCAAATCATCTCATTTCAATTTAGTTGCAGTGAAGTGAAACACTGTGCACACTACATGTATGTTGGTGTGTCTGTGCGTCTTGAGTGTGCACAAACGATCTTATTCCTCGTATTACTAATAGATTATTGTCCCCACCGTCACCTGTTCACAGGTCTTTGAGTGGATTGATTTTCTTTGAGCATCACATTCGTTGAGAACTTAGTAGTTGTGTGCTCCCATGCATCATTACGGTAACAAGCGTATCCTTGTGCTATCTATTTGTTGCAGGTGTGCTGATCTTCAGAAGCTTGCGGAACTGAGTGCTGCTGAACATTTGCATGGCCAAGAGCAATGGTGAAGCTTGCTATTGCACTCTCAGCATGTGCTAGTATTATGCTGACCACTGCACTATGTTACTCTCTTACACTACTACGTGTATGTAAACGTGCGTGTACCCGTCCCCGTATGCATTCGTTTCGTATAATTATTTGTTATCCCTCTTGACTTTACATGTAAATGGGTGGACGTTTGCATGGCTGTTGGAGTTGCGTGTGTATTGTGTCTCTATTCTTTTCTTGGTGTTTTCTTGGCGTTGTATAAGTTTGTGTGTGTGTGTGTGCGCACGCGCGCGCGCACAATAATTTGAAAACAAATAATTAATCCTGGGCTCTCCATTATTCTCTTTCGATTCTTGGTTTTTTTCTAGGTATTTTCTTGGCGTTGTGTGTGTGTGTGTGTGCGTGCACAATAATTTGGCAACACTACATGATTGAGATATTGTAATTTGCAGCGTCTGCGAAGAGACCACTTGATTTGAGGATGGTGTTTGTAGGGTTTTTCATGTAATGAAGTGGCGCCTCAATACATATTAATTTTATTTATCTTGAGAAGTGAATGATGAAAAGGAATAAAGGGAGAGTCCGTTTTCTGGTTAATATTCGCTGCTTACAGCAGATCCTATGTCTAATTTCGAACTCGATAGGGGATGCCTAATTGGCTGGACTTTATACAGGGAGTGTTGTCCACATAAAGACTCTTTATAGTTGATTTCAAAGTTTGGACTCCGTACAGTTGATTTTGGACCAATGGACTCTATATAGGGGTGAAGCCAATTGGCTGGACTCCATACAGGGAGTGATGTCCATCAAAACTTTGAGCTCACAGTTGATTCCAAGTTTGGACTCTGTACAGTGGATTTTGGACCAATGGACTCTATATAGGGGTTGGACATCATATAGGGGCTGGACGCTCTACTGAGTCCAACATATATACAAGCGCAGTCTCCAGAATAAGCGCAGGGCTTATAATGGAGAACTGTATGGATCATTTATAGTAAAGAAAAGAACCAAGGAAGTACAAATCCGGTATAATGTCCACTAATTTGCTGTTGGAGTGCGCACCCAAGACGTGCAAGAGCTAATAGCCAGTTAGTTGTAGAACGTCAGTACTGTCGGTCAGTTTTGTGCAATGGTATCGCATGAGCTGATTGTCAAGTAACTGGTGGTGTTAGTGGACATTATAGCGGTAGTTCCTTGGTCCTTTTCTTTACTGTAAATCAATCATTGTCTCTACATCCGAGTGTATGGATCATGTCCATATTATGTTTGACGTCACGCAGTATGCTGTGGTGCACGACCATGATTCGCGAGATGATAAAAGTACAGATTGAGCGTACCAGGAAGTACAAAACTGCAGTCACGATACCTGCTGGAGAAGTTTGTGCTACTGGTATAATAAACAAATAACCAGTGTACGTGCACCAGATGCTTGAAAAATGATAAGCTCAGTTTCTAGTAGAAGCGCAGTCTCTAATATACGCCCGGGGTCTGGACTGGTTGGAAAAATATAAGCCCAGGGCTTATTATGGAGATAATACGGGCATGTATTCTTACGTAAAGAATAGCTATGCCCTTTTGCCCTCACACTAGCCATGCCCTTTTACCCTCACACTTTGGGGAATTTTTTAGGGTTCAATTGTACTTGAAAAATTGGGCTGAAAAGCCTCTCACTTAGTCTTGGAATTTTCCGTCTTATTCTGTTTATTTTCATGTCTTCTAGCTGGATGAAGTTGATGCTAAAAGAGATCTTCCTACGGCACCAGCAAGCATATCCTCGCGCCAGGCAGCCAAGGTGGCAAAAAGCCATTCTTTACTTGCGTATGTGTAAGTACCGCTCACTAAGTATCCGCTTTCCTGGTTTCCTGGTTTCCTGGTTGCTAGAAGGAGTTGAAGAGAAAAGAGGAGATGGTGCAGAGCACGTGAAAAGGGTGCTTAGGGTCCAACTTTGAGGTTTTGAGTCAGCATACCCTTGTTGTAGCTAGCCTTTCGAGCTTTCAGTAAAAACAAAGGCAAAAAACACAGATGGAAATCTGCCAACAAAATAAATGATGCTGTGGTGCTGGTTCTTGTGCATGGTTGTCAGTCACCCGTGTTGTCATTTTCCTGCAGCAGGAGTGAAAGCGAAGCAGCTATCCAACATAATGCTCAATACAGTAAAATTATTGTTTAGTAAAATTATTGTTCAGTAAAATTATTGTTCGTGACAACAGCACTTCACTGTTCAACTACTGTATGTCAACAAATATTTGGCGCATATTTATTTTCGGCTATTTTCGGCCAGAGACTTCTGGTGGCGGTGAAAAGCTGCCTTCGATATAGGTGGCGGTAGATTCATCATGCTGCAAAACTTCTTGAAACCATGGTGACCTCTGCCGATGGATCTAGCGGCTAGCACGCTACGTCTACTACAGTCAAAGAAATACTGGTTTGATTTAGGGACAAGAGGATATTTATATGAGGCATGGGCAGCAAAAAGGTGATAATTGGCGAAAATGAGTTTTTGATGGCTTTGAACTGTCCACTAAATGAGTGATCTATGGGCCAATTTTTGGAGCTCTGGGCACCTTCCAAGATGGTAAAAAGAACGCCCGAAATGATGGGTGACGGTCAACAAAAATGGTCAGCAAAAAAGGCAAAACGGAACGCAGTTACAGCTAGCTCTAATGGAGTGACTGAGAATAATTTAGCATATTTATAGGTCTTCAGGGAAGCACAGAGTACTCTAGTTGATATTATAGTAACATTGTTGCCTGCACTTGCTGCAATGTTACTTGAAAACTCAATCTCTGTCATGTGCACGTCTGGTGTTGTATGCAGACTTGTGAGACAGAAAGAAGCCAAGCAACTGACGTTTTACATGGCTGGGAGGAATCTGCAATTTAGTACAAGACTAGATATGCATGCTGGGCCAAGCCAGATACATCCACCAAGCATGTCTTGCTCTCCTACGCACAGCAGCTTGTAGATACATGCATTATACTGTGACAAATTTCATGCGCACCGCAAGCGTGCATGTATACTTGCAACAATTATATTCACAAAATATCTTGTATCAAGTAAGGTTTAGTTCATTCAGGGCTGTCTCCGTATCTCACCAACTTATCCAGCTGCGAATAGTCGCCACGGAGTACTGAATCTCGTTCGTCACTCTCAGCGCTGCTGTCCGCGTCGCCACTTCGTGTCACAGAGCTCTCAAACTCATCGTCTGCGCTGCCTCCGCTGATGGCTTGTCATCTGAGCGAAACCTCTTGACTTTCACCTGATTCTTCTTGCGGGGGACTATCACAGGCAGCGGAGTATCTCTTGATATCCAGCTGCCAAATGTTCTAGTCGCTCGTGCTCCATCAAGAATTTGTGACGGGATCGTTCCGCCAAGAAATTATTTGTTCCGCTCTCTTTTGAGCGCATGATTTGCAGACGCTACCCAGAGCGCAAACGCCTCCATGGTGGCTGAAAACGCCTACCTGGACGTCCCAAGTGCTTGCCGGATAAACTACAACTGCGATGACAACAAAGTATAGCGAAGCCACCAAGAGGGAAGCACTTTCAAAGCGATATCGCAAGACGTCTTTCCGCTTTTATCGCGGTGACTAAAAAGCGACATCGGTTCGGTTTTTCGCAAATATTGGCATTTTGAAAAATCGCCAGGACCCGGTTCTTGCTGCCGATGCCTCATATATTCTAGAGCATTCGTCGTTTGAGCAGGTTAGCGAAATTAACGTTGCTAAGCCAGAGCGAGCAGTCTCGTTGACGACCAGACTTCCAATTCCACACAACTTGCACAAACACGCGTCAGTGACTATTGCTTGAAGACATTCCAAATCGAGGAAACGATATCCTTTATTAGCTCCACTGTCGTCGCTGCTCTCGCTCTCATTGTCACTTGCGGAGGGGTTATTGTCTGCGCTGTCACTATCAGCAGCGGGGTCTGGGTTCGAGGATGAAGATTTGGCGCTGTCAGAAGAGGAAGAGGAACCGCCGGCCATCCACGCAGGAGCCCCTAAACTCAACTTGCGCTTCAAAGCGGACATAGGCGTGTGGGAGAATTAGACTATTATTATTACATACCGAAGGTTTATACAATGAATAAGAACAAATGCAAAGGAGCCATCAAAACTACGCTCCTTTCCGCACAAAACAGCAAGAAAGAACTAAGGAACAAAAGAGATCGCGTGCCTTGCGCACGCAGGCACGACAGGCTAAACCAGGTACAGCAGAAGAGAATACGTCATGATGTACAAGAATGCATAAGTACTGATGCAAGTCAGTACGACGTAAGAAGAGCAGCATGAAGTAGTACACTGTACACATCAAGGGGGGTCATTCTACTTCACCCCTCCCCCTGGTGGCCACAAAAAAGGACACCAACACAATAAAGAAAAAGAATGAGAAAATAAAACTGCAAAACAGCCCAAGAAACTGAGCAAAGGCAAATATCACCGAAAACGCACGGGTTGCTGCAAATCGGCTCGGTTGCGCAAAACAGGGCCAGGCTGCACAACAGCAGGCTCATGCAAAGGCAGCAGCACAACACAATCATCCAAATCATTATCTGCAGGCACACTAGCACAGCTGTCATCAGCGCACACATCTGCAGCAGGATCATACTTCAATAAATCAATATTGATAACCTTTTCGCCAGAACCATCTGTACGAATAATGACAACAGTAGATGGCGAAATGACAGATTTAATAAGCCAACCACCTTCGTACGGCGAAAGACACTTCTGATGACGTGTTGGGCGACGGAGCATAACTGGTGTGTCGATACTGTATGGACATTCGAAGGCATCGCTCGGTACAGGATCTTCCTTCGACAATTCCAACTCGATGTGGTCACGGATCTGCGCGCTGCGTTGTTGCAAATGGTCTACCCACGCACTGGATGACATGCTCGGCTGCTCAGACTCCACAATCACATTGGTCGGCTGCCAACCACACATGGCTTTCATTGGCGAAATGCCAGTTACTGAATGCGGCCGTACTCGGTAATGGTGTAGCAGCAGATCGAGATCAGAACGCCAATCTCTTGACTCTCGCAGTACTTTCCGAATCAAGGTAAGTAGCGTGCGGTTGAACCGCTCGGCTGCTCCCTGCGATTGAGGGTGCCTAACAGCTCCATGACATACGGTAACACCAAACTTGGTGAATAGGGCTTCCACGATGACGTTAACGAACTCTGTTCCATTATCGCATCGAATTACACGGGGCGGTCCCCAGCGACAGCACACAGACACAACAGCTTGCGCCACACTAGCACCATCATGGTGACGTAACGGGATGACTTCGGCATATTTGGTGAACATATCCACACACACTAGAACGCAGTGAAATCGATCATCTCCACCTAGTTCTAAAGTGTCAATCTGCACGACTTCCCACGGATGGGACGGAATCACAGCACGCGCTGGCGGGGCACGAGGGCCACGACGAGGATTCGCTGCTTGGCATTGACCGCACGCCTTGACGAACTGCTGACACAATGACGACATGTTCGGCATGAAACAATGCGAACGCAGAAATTGCCACATGGTTTCCCATCCAGCATGGCCAGTGACACGATGAACAGCCACTAAGGCCGCGGTCACACCGAGCTCGATTCAGCCGTTCAGCCGAAACAAGCGCTTGTTTACGTCACTATTACCATGGAAATGGCTGAAAAATGTCCTACAAGCGACTTTCAGCCGTGGCTGACTCTCAGCCGTTTTTTTCCGGCTTGTTTCAGCCACAGCTTGTACAAGCGGCTGAAAGCCGAAATTCAAAAAATAATTTGAGTGCGCTTGGCCCTTCGGAGCACACCATGTAGCTAGTTGACATGATGAACTGATATTGATGTTCTTTCTTGTGTCCGTGGAACCGTGCTATCCCTGTGCCTTTGGTTTTGACCGTGAGTCTGTCTACCCCAACTACACTGTATTCGGTTGATTTGGATTTTGTCCGACGACCATGGATTTCTGCCGCTGTGCCTCTAGACTGCTGCGTAGATTGTTGGAGCTGTGGTTTGAGGCCAAGACAAGGCACCACACTCACGACCGAATTCATGAAGAAAGCCGGGTACGAAGAAGAGAGTGGATTGCAACCGAGTTCAATAACGGCAACCGGCGGGGCAGAAAGCTCGACATCAGGAAACACCACCTGAACCATCGCGTCCATGCACACTGAACAAATAAAAAGAGCACGACTTCGCAATTCAGAATCCGGGCTTCCTTTGCTTCTTCATCAAAACTGAACACTAGAACAAGTACAGTTTTAGATCGCGAACGTTCTGCTCTCCAGTTTCTTGCAAACATTGGTGTGTTTCGAGATATTCAAAATTTGGCGGGTAAGAAAAACAAGCCATTCAAGCTTTGCACTCAAGGTCTGGTGTGACCGCGTCACAGGGATCACGCAAGCCAGCTGAGCGCCAGCGATAACAAGCCCAAAGTGGCTTGTTTTGGTGTGACCGGGGCCTAATACGCGCTCATGTAAAGAAGACGGAATAACAGGCACAGACACTTCTTCATTCACAGGAAGCTTGACCGTACGGATCAATACGCCATCAACTACGGACAGTTGAGACTTGACCTTGCAGTACGCATCAACAGAGACATCTTCACCAGCAGTCAACTGCGCAACGACACGCGCAATAACTGGATCGTTCTTCTGTGCAGCAGCTATCTCAGCTAACGGGACAGGACTGGTCGAAATCGCGGCAGCTGTAGCGACAGTGGCAACACTATCCGCCGATGCGTCGGTCTCACGCTGCTGCTGCTGCTTCCAGTACCGCATGTACCGCTCGGGCACACGGGTCAGTTGATCCGCCAGGTTCTGCTTCGACGGAACCCACACTACTTTGACAATCATGTCCGATGTAGCGACCAGGTCTTCAATGATCTGCAAACGACGTTCAACAAGAACTTGCTGCAATCCGCTGACTTTCACACGCTTCAAATTATCAAGCAGTGACGTCAGCCAGCCATAGACGGTTTTCGAATCGGTGTGCAAAACGAGATTCTGCACATTCCACTTGGACGCAAGTGCAAGACCCTGGATAGCAGCATCCAGCTCTGCAATATTGATGTGACGACGGTCGTTCGGCTTCCGTAACCACGCTTGGTCTTCCACGATCTGGTCACCAACACCAATAGCGACACCGGTTGCAATATCCGAAGCGTCACACCACACGCTCCAGGTGGCAGCAGTTGGGATGTTCCAAACACCTCGCACTGGGTCCTCCGCCAGCACGCGCACCATAGCTTCTTGGCACAGCCGAGTCAGCTCCTCTGGCAGCGGTTCATCCCAGCCACGAACCAACGATGCGAGCCGCTTCAACCATGAACACAGCGGTCTCAGCCATGAGCAGACGGGGTAGTGGCTGGTCAGCTTCCCACACCACTGAAATACATTCCGCTTGGTTGCCAACTGTGGTGCTTCGATGTCTGTGATGTCGCGCCGTTGCCAGCGCACTCCGTCACTAGCAGATGACAGCTTCAAACCAAGGACAGTGGCTTCGTGAAGCTTCACAGCAGGCTTCATAGGCAGACCGTAGGTCTCTAAGCAAGCAGACACAGACTCTGATTGCTCGGACGGAACAATGATGTCGTCGATAAAGTTATCAGCATCGGGAAACTCACGGATGGAGTATTTCACAATAGCATCCCTCAGCTTTGGCGCCACACTAAGACCAAAGGCCATCCGCTCCATGCAGTAAGTCTTTCCCTGCCACACGATGGTCTGATACGGGAACAGACTAGGATGCAGTCGGACGTTCAAGTACGCTTTCCGGATATCCACTACTGACAGCTCCGTACTCTTGGAACGCCAATCTCTCAACTTCTCACCACAGACCGGAACGTCATTGCCAGGATGAGACAATATGTGATTGTTGAGAAGACGGAAATCCAGACATGGTCTGACCGGTGTCGACGTCTTGTGTTCTTGGCAGGTCGCTAGCAGGGGCAACACAGCAGCTGGCTCACCATGGATAGCAGGGTCGTGAGGCACCATGAAGCCACGGTCAATCCACATGGCGACTTCGTCATGAAACTTCTGCTGTTGCGATGGCGTCAACTTCCCACGGGAATACTCGCCAAGTCCACTGCCGATGGAAGAAGTAGGTTGCTGTCCGCCTTTCCATTTCCACTCGACTTCCCAATAGCCACGCTGCGGGTCAAAGACAGCTTCACCGTCGTCCATACTAAGACGCACAACGTTCTCGTCTTGCGTGACACCGACATGACGGGACAGCTTGTTGGCAGCAGCTACTGGAGCAGTCGACAGTGTCGGTAGATCAGATTGCTGCGGACCAAAGCGCACACCACACAGCACATTGTCCACGTCGCTGTACTCCAAGTGTACACCTTGGTGAACCGAAATGATATTCAAGCCGATTATCATGTCTGCCATGACTGATGACAGGTGCTCGACTACAAGAAAGTCGGCCTTCGTCAGCGGCAGCTCAACAGCTTCATCGCTACGCTCGACTTCAACACAAACACGTCCCAGTATCTGCACTGCCTTACCACTAACATCCACAATTTGAGTGGCATCAGACATGATGTGCAGGTCCATGGCCGACGCTGCTGACGCTGCAATCAGAGAGTTGCTGGAGCAGGAGTCTACAGCTGCTGACAACCGATGCACATCATCAGCCTCACTCTGCCGTGCGTCCACATAAATGCGTGGCAAGCTACATGGGGACGATGTGGCAGTCACGGCTAAACAAACACCAGTGTCAGCTCCTGACTTGGCCGCGCTGGTCAAGTGCTTGCTACGCTTGGGGCAGTTCGCCAGCATGTGTCCCTTCTCTTTACAGTGAAAGCACTTGCCCTTCAATTGGGGACATAAACTACGTTTGTGCCCAGACTGCTTGCAGTGAAAACACAATACACTGGATGGAACAGCAGTAGACGAGGATCCCTTGTTACTACTGCTGGCAGCTGCTGATACAGAACTTGGAAACTGGCGCATCACTCGTTGCGCAGACCGTAATGCCTTCACCTGATCCGCACACTGGCGAATCTTCAATGAGCTCGCCGCGTTCTGCAAACGAATCTGTCCGGCAAACTCCACAGGTAATCCGGACAGGAACTGCTGTTTTAGCACAGGGTCCTCACTGACCTCTGTATGGCCACTGCACCGCAACAGTCGTCGCAGATCCGCCATATAAACATCGACAGTCTCATCAGTTCTAAGCTGACGACGCACAAATTTGACATATGCTTCCTCCTTCGTGCTGCCAAATGCAGAACGCAACTGCTCATAAATCAATGTATCGTCCTTCCGCGACGAATCATCTAACTGAGACCATACTGTAAAAGCATCCTTGTCCAAGAATAGTGGTAAGTATTCAGCTCGCTTCTCCTTCGTCTGCCATCCTTGTATTTCGGCAACAACTTTAAATTTTGCCAGAAAAGTTTCAAGGTCCTCGCTCCGGCCACCGCCAAAAGCTTTCAACAACGACAGACCGACAGAAGACGACATTCTCAGCAAGCGACACTAACACTAATCTAAGCCGGGTTTCGGTACCACTTTGTGGGAGAATTAGACTATTATTATTACATACCGAAGGTTTATACAATGAATAAGAACAAATGCAAAGGAGCCATCAAAACTACGCTCCTTTCCGCACAAAACAGCAAGAAAGAACTAAGGAACAAAAGAGATCGCGTGCCTTGCGCACGCAGGCACGACAGGCTAAACCAGGTTCAGCAGAAGAGAATACGTCATGATGTACAAGAATGCATAAGTACTGATGCAAGTCAGTACGACGTAAGAAGAGCAGCATGAAGTAGTACACTGTACACATCAAGGGGGGTCATTCTACTTCAGGCGCTTAATCCTCAGCCGACTCCGACTCTGAAGAATCACTAGGGAGCGCAGCAGCAGCAACAGACTGCCCCATAAATGATCTAGATCGCTTTTTAGGGCGATACGAAATCTTCTTCTTCCCCATGATTGCTCCTTGTTACGAAGCAGTAAAATTTCTTTCTGCCGACTGAACAGCTCAACGCCATATTTATTTGGTATCCCAGCGCAACAAATCTCGCTAAAATCGCTTTGAAGTAAAGCCTGATACACCTACTTTGCTGAGTTTGATGGAAATGTCACAAATTTCTTTCTATTCCAAATTTTCATGTATGTAGTGACTACACACGCATTACAAATGCGTTTATCTCTAGGGTGCGTGCCGCGATTTGCCTCAAATTTGTTTCAGTAGCGCCTTGGCATCTGGGCTATCGTTTGAGCCCATGATCAGCCAAATCCACGGACTTTCGATTTTGACCTTGCCACGGTATACTCCCACCTGGGCAGGCTACTGCGACCGTGGCTGTTATGTGGTTGTACGGCTATGATGATTTCAAGTCAAGTGATGTGCCATGTATGGTTGAGACGGTCATTCAAACTAATCAGACCGTTAAGCCAATCCCAAATCCCAAGCGTGGGTTGCATTTCCAAGCTGCCACTGTATGTTCTTTGGGATTTTTTAGATTTGTACGTCTGTGCATGCACGTGTGTCGTCTGTTTTGTGTGTCTGTGCATGCATATGTGTATGTTTGTACGCCTATGCATGCATATGTGTCTTTTGTGCATCTGTGCATGCATGTGTGTTGTGTATCTGTGCGTACATGTTTGTATGCTTGTGTATATGTGCATGCATGTGTGTATGTGTGTCTGTGTATGTATGTGTGTATGTTTGTGCACCTGTGCATGCATATGTGTATGTTCGTGTGTATGTTTATGGATTGCTTCTACCAGGGATCTTCTTGAGACGAACAAGCCGTACTTTGTGAATAACATCCAGGTTCCTGCTCTTCAGACACTTTTACTGTTTTCACATCTCTTGGATACAAACCAGGACTGCAGCAGGTAGTTACTATGGTTACTGGGGCTCTGTACTCTATCTTATGGGGCTCTGTACTCTACCTTATGGGGCTCTGTACTGTGCCTTATGGGGCTCTGTACTCTATCTTATGGGGCTCTGTACTCTACCTTATGGGGCTCTGTACTGTGCCTTATGGGCTCTGTACTCTACCTTATGGGGCTCCTGTTGATAGCAGACACAGCGGAGGACGTTCAGGTTGGTTGTAACTCTGAGTTTCATGCCGCTAGGCAATCATCAGACAACTGGATCCTAAGCTCTGTCTTTGACATTGAGCGCTCTCTGCAGCTCGGGGATCAACGGATTTGTGCTGCTATTGATGTAGACAGTCTTAGCAATGCAGTTGGAGACATCCTTCTGGGGACAAACAATCACAGTGTCCTCTTTTCTTTTTCTTTTTTTTTTTTACTGTAGGACCAAGCCAGCTTTGTGTGCGTTTTGTGTGGGTTTTATGTGGGCAAAGGACAGCCGGGACATATTTTAGACTTTCTTGCCGCCATTGTCTGCTCTGTACATTGCAAGGGCTTGTAATATTTTTGGACAACCAGACATTGGTATTGGTCTGTCTGACCAGAGTGATAATAAAAAGTGAAAAAGAACAACATTTTACCATACTTTGTAACTTGGAAATTGTGGGCACAAGTTTCCATGTTACAATTTTTTTCCTTGGCTCACCATCTGAGTTCTTTTACCATACTCCTGGAAATATTATTTTCGCATTTTGGATAAGAATGCCGAAGCTGCAGTAACTCGTGAAGCAGAAATAGATATCAGAAAATAGCACACCGTTAGAATGGTTTCTAAGCTGGCAGTTACTGGTCCCTTTGTCAAGAGCTGTGCTGTCACACTGAACAGCAGTACTGGTCCCTTTGTCAAGAGCTGTGCTGTCACACTGAACAGCAGTACTGGTCCCTTTGTCAAGAGCTGTGATGTCACACTGAACAGCCTCATTACTGCTGCAACTAGTCTATACTCTATGTTCTGATTGCACCAGTCTGTACTCTACGTTCTGACTGATTGCACTAGTCTCTACTCTATGTTCTGATTGCAACTAGTCTGTACTCTACGTTCTGACTGATTGCACTAGTCTGTACTCTACGTTCTGTACTAGAAAGCAGAACCCTATCTTGATTTTCAGCCAGCGAGGCAAAGGAAAGTTTCGGGGCCGAATCTGATTCTCCTCCTCAGTACCATGGTACTAGGTCTGGTCACATGTACCGTAATATCGCGTATTAAAACCGAGCTTGTTCTCGTACAGCCGATGTCATGGCTAGGCTTCTATTCAAACCAGGCTTCTATCCAAACCAGGTATTTCTATGTATGTCAGTACTAAAACCTGGCTTATATGCCGTCAGTGCGTCTTGAAACTCAGGCTTGTATTGAAAACAGGCTTTTATACGAGACAGGCTTTAATTCAAGACACTGCGTTATGTGCTCACACTAGATGCTTTGCTTGACACTGCTGGTGTTAGTAGAGAAGAGATTGGTAGTGTACACTTGTGAGTGCACTTGTGGTTGTGGTCATAATAATGATAAGCACCGTGAACTTGTTCATCAGTGATGTGTGCACATGTTTTGCTTTGCATGCATGCCTCTGTCATTGTCCTCTTCAGGATAGTTGCTGATGAATGGCTGGAGATATGTATTCCTGATGCCGGTGGCGCAGAGCAGCTTGTTTCTGCTGCTCAGCAACTCCGGAGTTCTTGGTCAAACCTTCTATCACGACAACTGCAAGGTAAGATTCACGTATACATTGTTGACGAGGAGACGAGGAGCGTAGTACCCAATGCTGTAGACAGCATATATATTAGTGTTTAGTCGACAAGAAGAAGACTTTGAGAGCTTGCACATCATTGTGAACCTGATGAAAGCAATTTGCCGAAACGTTGTAATATTATGAAATGAGTTGAAGTATTGCAGTGTTAATGGAAGAGAGCGTGTGCTCTTCTCTTAACTGTACTGTAAAAGCCATTATTCTAACGAGGCGCATATATAACGATTTCCCAAAATTGACTAGTTTACGTGTACCAAAGGTAACGATTTTCACTCATTCTCAACGCTCAATAGGACAGTATATGTATCGATTTTCTGTATAACGATTTCTGTTTTAACGACAGATTTCTCCTCGTTAACTCGTTAGAGTTAGCACTTCGTTATATATATGGCGTTTACAGTATATGAAACTGCAGGAAGCCTCCCCACTTTACTTAACCCTTTCCGGGTTTATGACGAGTATACTCGTCATGCAGACCCCATCGCGTCTGGGCAATGACGAGTATACTCGCGCTGTACTTTTTGTACAGTCCACGCACCGTACGCACTGTTAGATCACTGTACAAACAGCCATAACTCTGGAACGGATTATCGCATCGCCATGATCAATACCTCACTGGAACGGTCTTGGAAACGGCTTTCCAGAGGTATTTTCGGTGTGGCGATAGGTCAACAAATGATCGAGCGGCGATAAATTGAACGCGCGATTTCGATCTGAACATTTTTCTTACTTTCTGTCTGGCGATTTTTTGCGACTTTCAAGTCGTTCAAGGAGATTTCCCAATGAGGTGAAAAGGCAACATGACGTGTGAGTACATCGTTTGAATCGCTTGGATCTCACGAGTTCGATGCAGTTTGAATCGTAGTTCTACGTTGAGTATGCGCCCCAAACCGAAGGAAATAGTTGTGCGTGGTCTTGATGCCAACCTGGAGCACGGTAGGGACACTGTTGGCGAGGCTAGGGGAATCCTTGAGGTGCTGTATGCTCTGAAAGTATGTGGAAGATGACGAGCAGGAAAGGAGATTTCCAGTAAGCCCTAAATTGTGAAAATCCGTTGAGAAACACTAAGGTTGTGACAATTTGTTTGTTGCTATCTCCACAATTTTACCGATTCACTGAATCTCAGTGCCCAGACGTAGTAAATGAACTGTGACCCTGAAAGGGTTAAGAAGAAGACCTACATTATTGTTTATTCGACAAGAAGAATACTTGGAAAGAAGACAAAGAAACACACGTGTCATGAAAACTCTCATCTCTCATGTTATGTTTTTTGCATGTCTCTCTCTCTCTCTCTCTCTCTCTCTCTCTCTCTCTCTCTCTCTCTCTCTCTCTCTCTTTCACAGAAAAAGAGAATGGGCTGAAGATGGTAGTCGGGAGAAGATATGAGGAGCAAAGAATGATGCTAGCGCAAAAACTGGCAGAGTTTTTGGATTGCTCCGTTTGCTATTCAATGAGGAAAGTGACAAGTTCTGAGTTGAAGAGTATGTACGTGGGCCCTGAGCAGAACAAAGGTAAGCGCAACACCATGTCCAAGTACATATACCGTATTATCTCTAATATAAGCACGGTCCTTTATTTTTTCAATGTACCTCCGTCCCGTGCTACTAATGGAGACGTTCCTTTATTGGAGACTGTTCCATTATTATTTCAACCTCATTTCAGAGGCATGTTGCCATGCCAAATTCGTGTATGACACACACATTTCAGGGTTTTTTTCGCCGACACGGATAATGAATTTACACAGTGTGCTTATAATGGAGACTGAGCACTTTATTTTTTGAATGCCGCCCCAAGGTGTTCTATTATTGGAGACTGTGCTTATATTAGAGATAATACGGTACGTTGAGGTTGGTGTGGTGGAGTGCTGTGTTGGCAGGCGCGTGCACCGTATGAGTTTTTTGGTGTCTGGAAACCACCTTTTTTCGGGCAATCTTGCCATAGGAAAAGCGTGCCTACGCTCGTACTGGATTGGTTATCCTGCATACGCGTCGATCGACGGGCAGTTTACAGTACAGTGACTATGTCCTTATTTCGAAGTGAGAGAGAGTTGCTTTGCATGCAGTTCGAAATACAATATTCTCTCTTTCTTCAGTGGAGAGTAGCCACAGAGAGATCGATCTCTAGCTCTGGTTCGCTCCTGGATTGGCGATGACGTTCAAGAAATCCGTTTGTCTCGAAATTTGAGTCAAGCACGCGCGATGCAAGTCAGTTCAAGGATATGATTGACGATATCTCCTTCCAAACTGTTGACTCAAATCAAGATGACAGCCTTTCGTTCTCGCTCATGTGCGCAGCATAGATGTTCGTCAAAAACGTTGTCGACTGGAAGACGTAAAATGTGCGTCCATGATCCACTTGCGCTGCTTCAGAACGAAGCGCAGCTCCGGCCGCGACTCAAGGGCTCGGGGCTTCGCTTTTCTCCCGCGAGCTTCCATCGAAGCAAGGTCCATAGCTCTTTATTGAAATCATGTAGGACATTGCCAATACATGCCGAAAACTTCGTCATAAGAACAGAAAGAAAGATACGTTGAATATAAGCTGTGTTTTGATGAAACAAACATGCCTGCATGGAGTAGATTCGTGAAGTACCATACACATAGTGTTATACTTATAGACTGTAGTGTATACATGTAGCCTGGGCGGCTAGGCCTATCAAACTTTTACGGGTTCAATATGACAAACATGTACAGTGCATATGAGTACATTTTAAATTTGCACCGTCTTTGCAAATACTTTTTGAAGTGCTGCTGATAACCCGTACCCGTTTTTTCCTGCTACCGGTTATACATGTACATGTAGATCTACCAACATTTCCATGTAACATCGTCCCCTCCCTAGCCCTCCATTCCTCATTACTCTTATTTCTATCCTTTCTACCCCCGTACCTGGTGCCCTCTCAGACGCGTTTGTGCTGGCATGATCTGATGATAGCAGTCGGACGAGCCCCGCATCTCATCAGCACCAGTGTTCATTGGTGCCCTGCACCCCTGATCTTGAGTCCCCCCCCCCCCCCCAGTCTCCTCCCTAGCCCTCGCCGTTATCTCCGACGGGATGTTCGGGGATGTGCATGCACATGTGCACAAATACATACTTATACAGTGGGTCTACAGAAAAATATTACCAACTCTAGAAACCCCCCTTTCAAGACTCGGTGCACGCCACTGGTTGGTGTAGTGGAGTGCTGTGTTGGTGTAGTGGAGTGCTGTGTTGGTGTGGTGGAGTGCTGTGTTGGTGTAGTGGAGTGCTGTGTTGGTGTAGTGGAGTGCTGTGTTGGTGTAGTGGAGTGCTGTGTTGGTGTAGTGGAGTGCTGTGTTGGTGTAGTGGAGTGCTGTGTTGGTGTGGTGGAGTGCTGTGTTGGTGTGGTGGAGTGCTGTGTTGGTGTGGTGGAGTGCTGTGTTGGTGTGGTGGAGTGCTGTGTTGGTGTGGTGGAGTGCTGTGTTGGTGTGGTGGAGTGCTGTGTTGGTGTGGTGGAGTGCTGTGTTGGTGTGGTAGAGTGCTGTGTTGGTGTGGTGGAGTGCTGTGTTGGTGTGGGTGAATGCTGTGTTGGTGTGGTGGAGTGCTGTGTTGGTGTAGTGGAGTGCTGTGTTGGTGTAGTGGAGTGCTGTGTTGGTGTGGTGGAGTGCTGTGTTGGTGTGGTGGAGTGCTGTGTTGGTGTGGTGGAGTGCTGTGTTGGTGTAGTGGAGTGCTGTGTTGGTGTAGTGGAGTGCTGTGTTGGTGTAGTGGAATGCTGTGTTGGTGTGGTGGAGTGGTGTGTTGGTGTGGTAGAGTGCTGTGTTGGTGTAGTGGAGTGCTGTGTTGGTGTGGTGGAGTGCTGTGTTGGTGTGGTGGAGTGCTGTGTTGGTGTGGTGGAGTGCTGTGTTGGTGTGGTAGAGTGCTGTGTTGGTGTGGTGGAGTGCTGTGTTGGTGTGGTGGAGTGCTGTGTTGGTGTGGGTGAATGCTGTGTGGGTGTGGTGGAGTGCTGTGTTGGTGTAGTGGAGTGCTGTGTTGGTGTGGTGGAGTGCTGTGTTGGTGTGGTGGAGTGCTATTTTGGTGTGGTGGAGTGCTGTGTTGGTGTGGTGGAGTGCTGTGTTGGTATAGTGGAGTGCTGTGTTGGTGTGGTGAAGTGGTGTGTTGGTGTAATGGAGTGCTGTGTTGGTGTGGTAGAGTGCTGTGTTGGTGTGGTGAAGTGCTGTGTTGGTGTAGTGAAGTGCTGTGTTGGTGTAGTGGAGTGCTGTGTTGGTGTAGTGGAGTGCTGTGTTGGTGTGGTGGAGTGCTGTGTTGGTGTGGTGGAGTGCTGTGTTGGTGTGTTGGAGTGCTGTGTTGGTGTGGTGGAGTGCTGTGTTGGTGTAGTGGAGTGCTGTGTTGGTGTAGTGGAGTGCTGTGTTGGTGTGTTGGAGTGCTGTGCTGGTGTGGTGGAGTGCTGTGTTGGTGTGGTGGAATGCTGTGTTGGTGTGGTGGAATGCTGTGTTGGTGTGGTGGAGTGCTGTGTTGGTGTGGTGGAGTGCTGTGTTGGTGTGGTAGAGTGCTGTGTTGGTGTGGTGGAGTGCTGTGTTGGTGTGGTGGAGTGCTGTGTTGGTGTGGTGAAGTGCTGTGTTGGTGTGGTGGAGTGCTGTGTTGGTGTGATGGAGTGCTGTGTTGGTGTGGTGGAGTGCTGTGTTGGTGTGGTGGAGTGCTGTGTTGGTGTGGTGGAGTGCTGTGTTGGTGTGGTGGAGTGCTGTGTTGGTGTAGTGGAGTGCTGTGTTGGTGTGGTGGAGTGCTGTGTGGGTGTAGTGGAGTGCTGTGTTGGTGTGGTGGAGTGCTGTGCTGTGTTGGTGTAGTGGAGTGCTGTGTTGGTGTGGTGGAGTGCTGTGTTGGTGTGGTGGAGTGCTGTGTTGGTGTGGTGGAGTGCTGTGTTGGTGTGGTGGAGTGCTGTGTTGGTCTAGTGTTACCTGCCACCACCGTACTTCTGCTGAGGCTAATTGGCCTCTTATGATGCTTTTGCAATGATGCAATATCCAAAGTTCTAAACATCTACATGCATAATTGTTAGTGCTGCCGATTCTACGCGGTGTGTGTGCGTGCGTGCGTGCGTGTGTGCGTGTGTGTGTGCGTGCGTGTGCATGTGCATGGGCGTGCATGCGTGCGCGCGTACATGTGTGTGTGGGTGTTTGGCCTCATGATTTCACAGATACTGTTTCAGGTTTACCGAGTCATGCAAGCAAAGGAGGTGTGATTGTCAATGATTATTTGACTTTCAACTGGTATGTATTGGCTATTCAAGATTCTCTGCTCTACGTTACGGGAGCAGGATGCAAAGAATTGCTTGTTCACTCTACTCGTTCCCGTAATGTATGAGGAACCTGTTCTTTGGCTCTACGTTAATGCTAAAATCATGTGGATTGTGTACTGGGAATTTCCCGCTCCAAGTGTGTCAGCTTTCTCCCTAATTTGAATGATACGCTGCAGATCCATATGAGCTTGTATGCATTTTCTCTGCACGTGCCACCACGTAGAGAACCTCATGACCACGTAGAAATCTGGACTTAACATGCGAAGCTGTAGACTCTAACCGAAATACCTGTTCTCTACATGATTTCTTTACGTTTCACGTTGAGCAAAACCTATATTGTTTGCCTTTTTCTTAGAAAAATGGTAAAAGTTTGAAGACAAAAATGACCGTCACCACCAAGTCTTGAATGAGGGATCCTCGTTTATGGCCAGCGATGCTATACCACAAAGCTATGGTGTAGTTGAAGTACATTACACATATGGTCTAAAAATCAAGATTGCATTACCTGTAGTCTTCAGGGTGCTCAGTCGAATGGTCTTGGTTGGAGGAAGCAGAGACACTCCCTTCTTCATATATTCCCAATCGAACCCCGCACACTTCTGCTGAAACTGGGTGACTGCGCCATACTACAGTCCATTCATAAAAAGATGGGCCCTGGCTCTTGCGACCTCCCGTATTTGGCGATTTTTCGTGATTTCATCGTACACAGTGCAGTGCTGCGAACTTTGAAATTTGAAAAAGGGTCCAAAAAGGGTACCTGAACTGGGGTTCGAACCGCACAGGCGGAGTCAAACGGCCTGGATTTTGATGGTTTTTCCCAATTCAGTGCTTTTGGGGCAGAACCTGGTTGAAATCCTATTCTTGCTATGGCTTGCTTTTTGGACAAAAAAACTTCAGAAACATAATTGGAAGAGGATTCCAAAGGGGAAGGCAGAAAACAATTCTAAAATAACTCAAAGTTTGACCCATTTATGCCCAAAAGCTTAGAAGCCCTTCTTTTTCTGAATGGACTGTAGTTAGGGATTTGTGTGGGAAATGTCACTGAAAGCGCCACTTCGTTCTTACAGAAGGGTGGAATGTGAAGCTCCCAGAATCCGTAGTCTTCTGGATACTGAGTCAAATGGTCTGGGCCCGAGGAGGCCGGGATATGGCGCTCGGCCTATATTTCTAATTGAACGCAGTCCCATACGCCGTCCTATACTGAAAATATTACCGATACATACATAACTCATCTGATCATCGTGCCTGTGCAGTGCACCATACAGGTTCAGTCAACTTCGCTTATAACGACACTCGACGGGGCATCAAAAAAAGTGTCCTTATTCGCGAAGTGTCGTTATACCCGAAGTCTCATTATGTATTACAGTTGGATGGAACTTTGCCCTGGGCATAGACATTCTGTCGTTATTCGCGAATTGTCGTTATATCCACAGTCGTTATTAGCGAAGTTGACTGCAATAATCTGCAGTACCTGTAGCTCGAGTGCAGTGACACAGCATCCCATAAGGAATTCATACCCCCCTTCAGTGGATACTGTATGATTTTGAATATTAGACATATTCTTCGTTTCAAATGTATTCGGAAAAGAACATTGATTCGCTTCTCTGAGCCTTTGTTTCAGCCGTACATTCAGCCCTACATTCAGCCGTACATTCAGCCGTACATTCAGCCGTACATTCAGCCGTACATTCAGCCCTACATTCAGCCGTACATTCAGCCGTACATTCAGCCGTACATTCAGCCGTACATTCAGCCGTACATTCAGCCGTACATTCAGCCGTACATTCAGCCCTACATTCAGCCCTACATTCAGCCGTACATTCAGCCGTACATTCAGCCGTACATTCAGCCGTACATTCAGCCGTACATTCAGCCGTACATTCAGCCCTACATTCAGCCGTACATTCAGCCGTACATTCAGCCGTACATTCAGCCCTACATTCAGCCCTACATTCAGCCCTACATTCAGCCCTACATTCAGCCCTACATTCAGCCCTACATTCAGTGTACATTCAGCCGTACATTCAGCCGTACATTCAGCCCTACATTCAGCCCTACATTCAGCCCTACATTCAGCCGTACATTCAGCCGTACATTCAGCCCTACATTCAGCCCTACATTCAGCCGTACATTCAGCCCTACATTCAGCCCTACATTCAGCCCTACATTCAGCCCTACATTCAGCCCTACATTTGACTCAGCACCCTGAAGACTGCTAGTAGTTGAATTGTTGTCTTCTTTTGTTCTTTTGTTGTTCATGCTGTGGTTCCAGTTTGCAGGCAACAACATCTGATGACTATGGTGGCGCTTTGATACGATTTTGGAAATGCCCAAGTTGTGATACAGCTTTGTTGGTCACGCCAGCAGACCGTCTTGCACATGAGGAGATGTGCAATGTGGAGAAAGAATCAGATCCCGCTCATAGCAGCAAAGGTATGTGACATATGGTATTGTTGTTTTCACCATCATTGTCCTACATACAGTTAGCAAGAGAGCATGTCTGAGGGTATGTTGGATTGGTTGGATCCGGATCCAGTCTATTGAGTGGGTCCTTTGGATCCACCAAGGTCCAATCAAACGCTGCCCTTGATCGAATCTGGGATTTTAGTGATTTTGAGGGTTTCCATGAGAGAAAGCAACGATTTCCGCATCATCTCTTTTATTCCCGCCATTCATCCACATATCACGTACAGAGTACTTTTTTTGGCAAAAAAGGATCTGGTGGATCCAGTGAACCCTGCTCCGGGTGAACCCTGCTCCCGGGGTAGTGTTGGTCGGATCCAAAATCCGTTGGATCTGGATGCGAATTCGTTGAAACGAACGTGCACGTATTGAGTGGATCTGATTGATCCGGATCCAGATCCAACCAATCGAACATGCCCTGAGAGTAACCAAGCCGCTTGAAGAACGCTCCAAAGAGTGCGGAAACCAAGGGAAATAAAGGAGGCATGTTACCATTCAAGAACACGTTTCTCATAATGTGTCAACGCTCCTTCCAGTCATGTTTCCCGCATGAAGTGGGGATAAAGTGAACTGAGTTGTAACAAGCATTATGGTTCAACACCTGATTATCAAAGATAGCTCGACCCGTACCCCACTTGCAACACTTGCAACACTTGCAACACTTGCAACAGCATATCCAGCTTTGCACTATCTGCGTGAACAGCTGTCTTGTGTTGGAGGGGTTTAACCAAAGGCAGCTGAATACGTGTTTGTCTTGTGTTGGAGGGGTTTAACCAAAGGCAGCTGAATACGTGTTTGTCTTGTGTTGGAGGGGTTTAACCAAAGGCAGCTGAATACGTGTTTGTCTTGTGTTGGAGGGGTTTAACTAAAGGCAGCTGAATACGTGTTTGTCTTGTGTTGGAGGGGTTTAACTAAAGGCAGCTGAATACGTGTTTGTCTTGTTTTGGAGGGGTTTAACCAAAGGCAGCTGAATACGTGTTTGTCTTGTGTTGGAGGGGTTTAACCAAAGGCAGCTGAATACGTGTTTGTCTTGTGTTGGAGGGGTTTAACCAAAGGCAGCTGAATACGTGTTTGTCTTGTGTTGGAGGGGTTTAGCCCTTTATGTACCAGCCATCTAATGTATGTAAGGGGCTATCGCAGCCAAAGAAGCAACCATGGTATGAAATCTAGACTACTTTTGTATATGCAAGTTGTGTTTTCCTGACTCCATATGTATCACTGCACCCAGGTAAGCATGGATATTGGTACAGCATGCAGTAGTATATGAAGGCCGTAGTTGGAATACCAAAGATACGCGCCAATTGTGCATATTTCTGACCAACCAGGGTATCACAAACAAATAGACTGAGAATTAGTTTGTGCTCGTGTACTGGGAACATAGGGACAAAAAACCTCATAGGCGTTGTCTCAGTGCATGAAGAGTAACAACATACCAGGGAAATGGTCATATTTTCACACATTTGAGGTAAAACAATTGGTTCAAAATTTTGAATTCTTGTCTCAGATTCGAAATCTATATTTTTCTTCATCTACTCACATCCAGCGTCAGGTAAGTGAAAGAGAAGACAAGAAGCAATCGCTGGCTGGTGAATTACGCCTGCCTTGACGATTTTAGGCCATCGCTGCCCTCCCTCTCGCTCCTGTTTTGAGAGCGAATACTGCGATGGGATCAGCGATACAAATTTTCAATTTTGAGTCGCATTCCGCGATGATATCGCCACAGCCGATCTCTCCAATCGTCCACCACGTCTAGAAGACGTCGACATGACCTAGAACAAGCTACATCTTCTCTACAAGCAGAGAAACTGAGCGAGAACACGATCGAAACAGCGACAATTGTTTGCGCTGAAAAGCATACTTTTGAACGCGTTCGTTCTCCATACTTTCAAATGGCAACCTACCCATATCATACATCAAAATTTTCAGTGGGATCTCAGCTGTCAAGCGCAAAAACCCGCGGGTCGATCAGAGCTACGGCGGCGGGGAACGGCGAGCTTGATTGGAGTGCAGCGAACCGTACCATATGGTACGGTTCGAGATGGGGCTGGTACACAAAGGGTTAACCAAAGGCAGCTGAATACGTGTTTGTCTTGTGTTGGAGGGGTTTAACCAAAGGCAGCTGAATACGTGTTTGTCTTGTGTTGGAGGGGTTTAACCAAAGGCAGCTGAATACGTGTTTGTCTTGTGTTGGAGGGGTTTAACCAAAGGCAGCTGAATACGTGTTTGTCTTGTGTTGGAGGGGTTTAACCAAAGGCAGCTGAATACGTGTTTGTCTTGTGTTGGAGGGGTTTAACCAAAGGCAGCTGAATACGTGTTTGTCTTGTTTTGGAGAGGTTTAACCAAAGGCAGCTGAATACGTGTTTGTCTTGTGTTGGAGGGGTTTAACCAAAGGCAGCTGAATACGTGTTTGTCTTGTGTTGGAGGGGTTTAACCAAAGGCAGCTGAATACGTGTTTGTCTTGTGTTGGAGGGGTTTAACCAAAGGCAGCTGAATACGTGTTTGTCTTGTGTTGGAGGGGTTTAACCCTCTCAGTGCCACGGGCGACTTTAGTCGCCCAACATGAGTATGTGTGTACAAATAAATTCGTATCTCCACTTCTACACACAGAAGAGTTACAAACGACCACTCTACGTGTTCAGGAAGACCTTGGCTATCGACTCATCACATCGTTTTGTGTCCGTGAGGATAGATATCGCCAGGGCGAAGCTTGAAGCGCGCGCGCTCGGACAAACAATTGTCGCCCGTAGAAAACATGACGTATGCGCATCGCGGGTTTCTCTATTTCTTTCGCGGCAACCCATGCGTATTGGGTATCAAAACATCGAGATTTTCAGCGGCTTTCAGGCCAACTTTGTCCGAATTCCGTGCGTTGAAAGTTGACTGCACTGCGATCGATCGCGCGCGTGAGAAAGTGCGGATGCTACGAAAATGCAGAAAACGGACTTCGCTCAGGCGCCCTCGCGAGGAAGACTATTTTCGCTGCATATTCTCTTCACAGCTGTCTGCCTGGCCATGATATCTTTCCAGAGAGCCATCGTTTGTAAAGATCCGTGGATATACAGCTGAGCTATGAAAAATTTGAGTTCAGCTCAACTCAGAAAAATTTGAATTTTTCTGACCCCCTTGGCACTGAAAGGGTTAACCAAAGGCAGCTGAATACGTGTTTGTCTTGTGTTGGAGGGGTTTAACCAAAGGCAGCTGAATACGTGTTTGTCTTGTGTTGGAGGGGTTTACCCAAAGGCAGCTGAATACGTGTTTGTCTTGTGTTGGAGGGGTTTAACCAAAGGCAGCTGAATACGTGTTTGTCTTGTGTTGGAGGGGTTTAACCAAAGGCAGCTGAATACGTGTTTGTCTTGTGTTGGAGGGGTTTAACCAAAGGCAGCTGAATACGTGTTTGTCTTGTGTTGGAGGGGTTTAACCAAAGGCAGCTGAATACGTGTTTGTCTTGTGTTGGAGGGGTTTAACCAAAGGCAGCTGAATACGTGTTTGTCTTGTGTTGGAGGGGTTTAACCAAAGGCAGCTGAATACGTGTTTGTCTTGTGTTGGAGGGGTTTAACCAAAGGCAGCTGAATACGTGTTTGTCTTGTGTTGGAGGGGTTTACCCAAAGGCAGCTGAATACGTGTTTGTCTTGTGTTGGAGGGGTTTAACCAAAGGCAGCTGAATACGTGTTTGTCTTGTGTTGGAGGGGTTTAACCAAAGGCAGCTGAATACGTGTTTGTCTTGTGTTGGAGGGGTTTAACCAAAGGCAGCTGAATACGTGTTTGTCTTGTGTTGGAGGGGTTTAACCAAAGGCAGCTGAATACGTGTTTGTCTTGTGTTGGAGGGGTTTAACCAAAGGCAGCTGAATACGTGTTTGTCTTGTGTTTGGAGGGGTTAACCAAAGGCAGCTGAATACGTGTTTGTCTTGTGTTGGAGGGGTTTAACCAAAGGCAGCTGAATACGTGTTTGTCTTGTTTTGGAGGGGTTTAACCAAAGGCAGCTGAATACGTGTTTGTCTTGTGTTGGAGGGGTTTACCCAAAGGCAGCTGAATACGTGTTTGTCTTGTGTTGGAGGGGTTTAACCAAAGGCAGCTGAATACGTGTTTGTCTTGTGTTGGAGGGGTTTAACCAAAGGCAGCTGAATACGTGTTTGTCTTGTGTTGGAGGGGTTTAACCAAAGGCAGCTGAATACGTGTTTGTCTTGTGTTGGAGGGGTTTAACCAAAGGCAGCTGAATACGTGTTTGTCTTGTGTTGGAGGGGTTTAGCCCTTTATGTACCAGCCATCTAATGTATGTAAGGGGCTATCGCAGCCAAAGAAGCAACCATGGTATGAAATCTAGACTACTTTTGTATATGCAAGTTGTGTTTTCCTGACTCCATATGTATCACTGCACCCAGGTAAGCATGGATATTGGTACAGCATGCAGTAGTATATGAAGGCCGTAGTTGGAATACCAAAGATACGCGCCAATTGTGCATATTTCTGACCAACCAGGGTATCACAAACAAATAGACTGAGAATTAGTTTGTGCTCGTGTACTGGGAACATAGGGACAAAAAACCTCATAGGCGTTGTCTCAGTGCATGAAGAGTAACAACATACCAGGGAAATGGTCATATTTTCACACATTTGAGGTAAAACAATTGGTTCAAAATTTTGAATTCTTGTCTCAGATTCGAAATCTATATTTTTCTTCATCTACTCACATCCAGCGTCAGGTAAGTGAAAGAGAAGACAAGAAGCAATCGCTGGCTGGTGAATTACGCCTGCCTTGACGATTTTAGGCCATCGCTGCCCTCCCTCTCGCTCCTGTTTTGAGAGCGAATACTGCGATGGGATCAGCGATACAAATTTTCAATTTTGAGTCGCATTCCGCGATGATATCGCCACAGCCGATCTCTCCAATCGTCCACCACGTCTAGAAGACGTCGACATGACCTAGAACAAGCTACATCTTCTCTACAAGCAGAGAAACTGAGCGAGAACACGATCGAAACAGCGACAATTGTTTGCGCTGAAAAGCATACTTTTGAACGCGTTCGTTCTCCATACTTTCAAATGGCAACCTACCCATATCATACATCAAAATTTTCAGTGGGATCTCAGCTGTCAAGCGCAAAAAACCGCGGGTCGATCAGAGCTACGGCGGCGGGGAACGGCGAGCTTGATTGGAGTGCTGCGAACCGTACCATATGGTACGGTTCGAGATGGGGCTGGTACACAAAGGGTTAACCAAAGGCAGCTGAATACGTGTTTGTCTTGTGTTGGAGGGGTTTAACCAAAGGCAGCTGAATACGTGTTTGTCTTGTTTTGGAGGGGTTTAACCAAAGGCAGCTGAATACGTGTTTGTCTTGTGTTGGAGGGGTTTAACCAAAGGCAGCTGAATACGTGTTTGTCTTGTGTTGGAGGGGTTTAACCAAAGGCAGCTGAATACGTGTTTGTCTTGTGTTGGAGGGGTTTAACCAAAGGCAGCTGAATACGTGTTTGTCTTGTTTTGGAGAGGTTTAACCAAAGGCAGCTGAATACGTGTTTGTCTTGTGTTGGAGGGGTTTAACCAAAGGCAGCTGAATACGTGTTTGTCTTGTGTTGGAGGGGTTTAACCAAAGGCAGCTGAATACGTGTTTGTCTTGTGTTGGAGGGGTTTAACCAAAGGCAGCTGAATACGTGTTTGTCTTGTGTTGGAGGGGTTTAACCAAAGGCAGCTGAATACGTGTTTGTCTTGTGTTGGAGGGGTTTAACCAAAGGCAGCTGAATACGTGTTTGTCTTGTGTTGGAGGGGTTTACCCAAAGGCAGCTGAATACGTGTTTGTCTTGTGTTGGAGGGGTTTAACCAAAGGCAGCTGAATACGTGTTTGTCTTGTGTTGGAGGGGTTTAACCAAAGGCAGCTGAATACGTGTTTGTCTTGTGTTGGAGGGGTTTAACCAAAGGCAGCTGAATACGTGTTTGTCTTGTGTTGGAGGGGTTTAACCAAAGGCAGCTGAATACGTGTTTGTCTTGTGTTGGAGGGGTTTAACCAAAGGCAGCTGAATACGTGTTTGTCTTGTGTTTGGAGGGGTTAACCAAAGGCAGCTGAATACGTGTTTGTCTTGTGTTGGAGGGGTTTAACCAAAGGCAGCTGAATACGTGTTTGTCTTGTGTTGGAGGGGTTTAACCAAAGGCAGCTGAATACGTGTTTGTCTTGTGTTGGAGGGGTTTACCCAAAGGCAGCTGAATACGTGTTTGTCTTGTGTTGGAGGGGTTTAACCAAAGGCAGCTGAATACGTGTTTGTCTTGTGTTGGAGGGGTTTAACCAAAGGCAGCTGAATACGTGTTTGTCTTGTGTTGGAGGGGTTTAACCAAAGGCAGCTGAATACGTGTTTGTCTTGTGTTGGAGGGGTTTAACCAAAGGCAGCTGAATACGTGTTTGTCTTGTTTTGGAGGAGCTATACCAAAAGCAGCTGGATGTGTGCTTCGGTGCTGACATGAGCTGTGCTGGAGAGTATTCTGGCAGTCAATTGTGCAACTCATTGTACATGAGAAATAAAACAGTATGGCTGCCCATTGAGCATGATAGAGTACATAAGACAGTAAACGTGACTACACAAGCACAATTCTGTGAGAGGTGAGGTGGAGTCCAGCCATAGTACTAGTGTTGAATATAAAGGAGAGGTGAGGTAGAGTCCAGCCATCGTACTACTAGTACTAGTGTTGAATATAAAGGAGAGGTGAGGTAGAGTCCAGCCATCGTACTACTAGTAGTAGTGTTGAATATAAAGGAGAGGTGAGGTAGAGTCCAGCCATCGTACTACTAGTACTAGTGTTGAATATAAAGGAGAGGTGAGGTAGAGTCCAGCCATCGTAGTAGTAGTAGTAGTGTTGAATATAAAGGAGAGGTGAGGTAGAGTCCAGCCATCGTAGTAGTAGTAGTAGTGTTGAATATAAAGAAGAGGTGAGGTAGAGTCCAGCCATCGTAGTACTAGTAGTAGTGTTGAATATAAAGGAGAGGTGAGGTAGAGTCCAGCCATCGTAGTACTAGTAGTAGTGTTGAATATAAAGAAGTGTATACGTGTACACATACGCAACTCCTCCAACTAGGGAAAACTAGGGAAAACTAGGGAAAACTAGGGAAAACTAGGGAAAACTAGGGAAAACTAGGGAAAACTAGGGAAAACTCATTTGGCTAGGACACATCCTTTGGCTTCATGAGCCCTGGATTGATACTTGCAATACAGATCTAACGTACTACTGTACGTAGCTGTGCTAGCCTCTCAGAATAGTGGCCTGACGTTTTGCTGATCATGCCATTACTGTTGATATGCATGTGCGTGTGTGTGTGTGCGTGCGTGCGTGCGTGCGTGCGTGTGCGTGTGTGTGTGTGTGTATGCACCGTATTTGTACTAGATGCCAAGGCTCTGGTTGGTGACGCTGCTGAGTCAGCTGAGCTAGTGGATCGGCCATTGACTGGACTTGAACGATCCTACTACTGCCCTGATTGTAACAAGGAGCTGATGCTTACGCCTGCACAGATTCTCCTTCACAAGCAATCACATTCTAAGTGATGTGCAACATTTACATGCAACATTACAGGTAAGTTGTTCTGCTCCTGAAAACCTCAGTACCTGTGTATTATACATCCACCCGTGTACTGTACATCCACCTGTATACTGTACATCAGCAATGCACTGTACATTCACCTGTGTACTGCATGTCCACCAGTGCACTGTACATTCACCTGCAAGAAAGAAACGAACAAAAATGCCAAGTTGCATTTAATCTTGAGTCACTCTGTTCAGTGAATTGAACAATGCACAATAATAAATGAGCCCCGGCCTGCGAAAACCAGCACTTGTGTACTTGATATCAATCATCAAAATGTGACGTCAAAGTTTGGGACGCGCAGTGAGCTGGCTTTGAAGATTCCTTTTCGATCGAGTGGGTGTCTTTGTTGTCAAAGGAGTTTCAAATGTCTTCAAATGAGTCTGGTCAATTGATTTTAGCCCTAGGTGAGAGCTCGTCAAACGGAGGTTGAGTTTAGACACAGCGATGGCGACAGGTGTCGCGACAAGGACTTAGGTCCAGAGTTGTCAGCGTGAGACTCCCTGTACGAAGCGACGCTGAAAGTTAGTTCGCGATCGGAATTATTTCTTTGGTGGCGATCTCGCTGAGTTTGTCCAGCAGTGGTGAGTCTCATATTCATAGCAACGAAGAGCCCTCATAAAATCGACACTGGATACTGGTGGCGACGCTAGTCAGTGCTGGAGTAATAGCGACTGCGAGGAGAAGCTGAATGTCGACCCGCTGAGCGATCCGTATTTCTACATCGACAACAATGATGTTGCAGACACTCATGGAGGGCTTCTCACGGCGCAAAACAGAGCGTAGTATTATCAGTACTCTACCTTGCCAGACGACGCCAAGCTGGCTGCTGCCTGTGCTGAGAAAGGGGATTCCTAAAAGTCAAACTGGCTGAATGCTTTGGGGCAACATCTTCACGTGCTACAAAACGCGAGTATTCGCCCATATCATTGAAATGCAATTATGCTGAAATCATGGTCTGAGTGAAAGTGTGCAAGGGAGTGGATGTCAGTGGTATTGGTCAGTTCATCTATCAGTATGGCAAGCTTTGGGACAACGCTCAAACTGCCAGCACAGAGGTCCCTGAACACAATTTGGAAGGCCAGCCACCAATCATCGTTTTGCACTCTGGTGTTGTAAAGAAGGTAGTGGTGTATACGGAATATCGTCACACTTCTGAACTACTCATGCCTGCAGCATCAAGAGGGCAAGCCTGACTTGCATTCTATTTACTAACATGTACCTGTTCCACATCACAATCAGAAACTGTAGCATCAACTTGCATGGAGTCACTGGGCATGGATGCTGCGCCAACTGTACCGAATCTTGACCTGTGTGACTTCAAACTCTATTTTCCATGCTTTCGCTTATCAGATTGTCACCAAACTTGATAACTTGAATGGTTAATAGTGTAGAATCGATTTCGAGCGAAAAATAATTTTTGAAAAAATTACACATTTTCAGGTTTCTGCTGGCTGGGGCTCAAATTATATAATAATATTCGCGGGATCCGCGTCGGCATCGCTCGAATGTTCAGAAACACACAAACTAGCCTTCGCATCCGCAGGCCACCACTATGCCTATTAACCTTAGTGGCGAATGCAGACCTCACAAGTGAGTCAGGGGAGAGGAGGTTAGTCTCTCAACCAATCGGGCGTGTAACGGCCCATAACCCTGTAAACTGCATCCTTGTTATTCTCACTCCGAGCTGTGAGTACCCAGTTGACCGTGGGTGTCGGCGCAGTTCAGCACGCGTAAAAAGTCTTTTTACACGCTCCCTGCTACCAGCGCGGGTCTTGAACTCGGGACCTCATGATTCGCAGGCAGGCCTGCAAACCAATCGGCCATATGCGTTGGTAACAATGCACAATGCATGTCAAAAGTATTTTGTATTCACTCCACAGCACTCATTGACACTACGAGACACACTGACACTACAGATTAGATTGTACAGAGGAGAACTCAAGTAGCTGATGGTTCTTGCAGTTGGTAGGTGCCAATGTGAGTGTGCTGAAAGCTAAAGCCTGTATATTCACAAGGTTAGGGGTGTCGAGCATCAGAATATGGGGCCGGGGATTATTATAGCGGATGGAGTGAGTAAATACCTTGAAGAAGGAGATAGGAATGGGCCTATTGATGCGGTGTAGAACGTCGGAGTCGTCTCTCTGCACGAATTCTTTCTTTGCAGTCTGATTGACTCATTGCCGTTATGAATGTTGTCTTTCATGTCTCTGCTTTCAACTTTTCTCATTTGCTCATGCCGGCAATCACATGACAGGTGATGCATCACAGGGTATTGCATGCTGTTATTACCTCATTTTCTGTACGTCAAGATTGCATATCGCTGGGCCTTTAGTGGACTGGTTATCTGTTGACCAGGTAAGCCTATTGGTGATAGTTTGTGTGGGCGTGTGGGCGTGTGAGTGTGGGCGTGTGAGTGTGGGCGTGTGAGTATGGCGTGTGAGTATGGCGTGTGAGTGTGTGTGGGGGGGGGGGGGGGGGGCGTGTGTGTGGGTATCTGAGTGTGGGCGGGCGAGTGTGTGGGCATCTGAGTGTGGGCGGGCGAGTGTGCGTGTGTGTGGGCGTGTGCGCGCGCGCGTGTGTGTGTGTGTGGCAAGAGGTTTGATAACGACACACGCAGATAAGGAGAATCAAAACACAGTCGCTGTATGTGACAGCAATACTGTGTTAGTTTGCCTCATCTGTGCATGTCCATGTATAGTAAGGCTCTGCACCCAGGTGCATTGAGCACTCTTTGAGCTGCTCCAACTCACTCTTCTGGAAAACTATGCATGTAGCATATTTATCGCAGAAGTTATAAGTGATACGAACATGATTAGTGCACTCATCTTCATCTACGATTTGTGTTGTGTTATGTTGTGTTGTGTTCATATAAAGGTGAAGTGGCATTGCTGTTGCAAGGACAAAGGACTGTAACAGTCCCTGTTCAGTGTTCACCGCAATGTTGCAAGCTAAATTGTTCTCGGTTTGATCTAGTTCTCGGCTCTGTGTTGATATTCCGAATAGGGATATCAAACACTACAGCAGATTTATCTCTCTATGATTGTTACCTGCCAGTATTGGCATCGTGTTGCATTCTGGCTAGCTGCTTGATAGTAGCAAGTATTTGCGCTACATGCACTATCCTGGCTAGCTGTTTCCTGCATGTAATTACATACAATATCCTAGCTGTGGCTTGATACCAGCAAGTGCTAGTGTGCTGGCGTATTGTGCCAGATGGGATGGAACAAACACCCGTGCACAGTGTCTGTTCCCCTAGTAGTGTTCTTGTTCTGCACACCATGCTCAGCGGCAAGCGCCGCGGTGTTAGCAGTAGAAATTTACATGTAACACTAGTTTAAAAACAAGAAGAAAATGGTCATGTGTTCTGCATACATGGACTCATTTTACTCAGCTGGCTGCTGCCGATCATGATCATTTTTGTTTGCACTTACCTGTACTTATATTCAATGGCATGTCCCATACTTAGAACATAATGCTTTAAAACGTATCTTGTTTCTGACTCAATACTTGACAAGTGTTCTGCAGTTATGGTTGCAGGCCTACCGAGACTGTATTTGAACATGATGGCATACACGTACATGCACAGTGTGTACACACTTACTTTCCACTGCTCACCTGTTAATCCACTTTTGAATATACTTCAAGTAATAATTATAATCACTCGAAGTATGTGAGTATACCATGGTGACTTTGGTGGACATGGCATGACTAAACTTTGAATCTCCAGACAGTATCTGATCAGCTGACTAAACTTTGAATCTCCTGACGGTATCTGATCAGCTGAAGTTATCCATACCCTTCCTTTACTGCATACCCTTCCTTCAGATACTTCAACTACATACTGTAACTGATAATACGCTTTCAAACCTACGCCAAACTATCTACAAACCTACGCCAAACTATCTACAAACCTACGCCAAACTATCTACAAACCTACGCCAAACTATCTACAAACCTACGCCAAACTATCTACAAACCTACGCCAAACTATCTACAAACCTACGCCAAACTATCTAGAGTCTTACGTGAAACCCTTACACCTAGGATTGTTGAGTGATGATCTCCAGTCAGAGTCGCAACAAGTAACTACAAATTATTGTTACATTCTGACCACTATTGTATGTCACACTATTACAGCACAATGCTGCTCAATGAAATCCGATCGCCGCATGAGTCCAGTAAGTAATAGTTTGCGTCCTTAGCAGCCTGGTAATCACAGGTCTACGGCTGCACAGTGCACAGGGCTGCGGCTGCACAGCGCCCGGAGTACAGTGCAACAGACTGACTTGCATGATCAGATTTCATTGACATGAGCTACAGGGTAGACAACGGAGTCACGCCGTTCCTATCTGGGTGTGTCGCTCCACCTGCAGCTGGTCTACCATGCTTTGTGACCATACTCCATACTCTATACTCCATAGCCGGTATGGCATAGCTAGCTGTAGCATGTCAGGCTGTAGGCTGTAGGCTGTACTCTAGGCTGACCGCATCCGGTATCCAAGTATTCATGTGCGTGTTGTGCTTGTGGTCAGCATCAGCGTGTAGTGATGTACAGCTCAAACCAGGGAGTAGTAATGTATTTTACTACTCCCTGGCTCAAACACTACACTCTTTGGTGGCTGTGTGAGCGTGATCGCCTGCTGCTTCCGCTGCCTTCACTAGTGCTGGCAGGTCACTTCGCCCGTGTTCAAGTAACATAGTTAGTTGTTGTAGCAGATGATTGTGACTTCTTTGCCTAGGTGAGTGAGCACGAGGCGCTGTTCGCACTACCGCACTTCAGGCTTCGTTGTATGTGAGATGCAGCATCTGGCCATTTCTGTACAGGCCTTACTGACTTACATGTAGCTCTAGTTCATCTTATCTCTTCGCAGTTCACACCCTCACATCTACAGTACATGAACATGGACATTGCATGCAGTAACGTCGCTGTGGTGCGAATCCCATGAAGTCTTGCGCCTTGCGATCATTTTCAGTGCTGAAATTTGTAGGACAAAACTCGACTGTGTGAATGGTTCGAGTTCATTTCCTCGGCATTTCTCTTTCCAAGCCAACAGTTGCATACATGTTGCGTGCATGGATGTGATTTGTTCGTTCAGGACTACTTGGGTAGTAGTTGCTTTCGAGTTTCGTTCCTCAAGAAACACCATCGGCTACATTCGTAGGCACGTTTTCTACGTTTCCAAATCTAAACTGGTGTAAAGACTTTGACCTCTGTGCTATGCTGCATGTACTAGCATAATAGCAGTCGACTGGAGGAAGCTGTTTGAAGGTATTGGCGGAAGCTGTTTGGAGGTGTTGGACATTCTTTTGCTGACATTGTGGCGACCCGCGAAATGACAGACGGCAGAAAGACTTCAGGTAACGTACAACTTAATTTACCCTGCTTTGAACCATGCTGGATACGGGCAATGTTGTATTGTACAGCGCTAGCGGGCATGGTTATTTCTTTATCATCCCGGTGTTCAATAACCAGGTTCTGCATTCGTATTGTCAAGAGTAAATTACCCCCAAGAGAGTACAGCTCCAATCTAAAGGGTCTGCAATAGCAGAACCTCACATCATGTGACAAATCCATACACATTACTTGCACCTTATGCATGATAGATACAGGGTTGTACGCAAACCCTACTATGATGTAGTGGTCACTTTTCACAGTTTGCCTGCGTAACCTGTTGAAACATGTCACATGATCGTCGCAGAACTGGCTAGAAGTTGTACAGGCAGTTACACACTCTTGGGGTTATGTACTCTTAGTGTACTCTTAGTGTACTCTTAGTACGTACTCTTAGTGTACTCTTAGTGTACTCTTAGTGTACTCTTAGTATTACTGGATTTTGTTCTAATCAACCACAATCATTATTGGTGTGGTGTGGAGCACCATTAATGATGATGTACAGTCAAACCTCGTTAGGACGAACACTGATAAGGCAAACTTTCCTTTAGTACGAACTAGGGCCAATTCGATGGTTGGCCAGGCATCATATCAAATAAAAATAATTCGTTGACGACGAACTCCTGTACGGCGAACTTTCGTGAAGATGAACTAATTTCAAGCTTGATTTGAACAAAATCAGTGTGTAGTACGAACTTTCAGTCCTTGTGGGTACACTGGCTGTAGTTTTTGTCCGATAGTTGAGGCATCGTGTACTGGCAAAACATGTTACCAGGCGGAGGACATGCTGTCATGAATTCATTACACATTGTACTTACCTGTTGCTGGGTTATTGTGAAGAAAAAAATGTTTTACATTTGCCACAGCATGCACCTTCACTGGCTTCACATAAATACAATCAATATGCACTATGAAACTCGGGTATTGAGCCAATAATAAAAGTAGAAAGGAGTTTTGTGCCTAGTTGTTGCACTTTCTGACTGTATATAAGTAGTATCTAGTTACAGTGGTGGAGAGTTACTCTTAACTCGTTTCCATTATGTCCTTTTCCTTTCGAATATGCACTATAATTTTTTTTGGCAGATCAGGATACGAAGAACTCCGGGTAAGACAAACAAATTGTTCGGTCCCTTGAAGTTGGTCCTAACGAGGTTTGACTGTATCTCTATTAGGGAGGCATTGCTTAGTGCATGGTCAGAACTAGGCTTTCCCCAAATCGGCCTGTTTTTTCGCCTATTCGGCTTTTCGCTAAGCTCAAAAATACATCAGATTTGGCTGCAAAATCAGCTGATTGTTCGAAAATCGGCTGCAAAATTGGAATAGGAATGAGTTTGCTCCCACACTGGAGCCCGTGCTATTCCGCCGACTTGACTTGACACTTGACTGACTCACGACTGCCTAACTAACTGACTGACTAAAATTGGAATATATATTAGAAAATCGGCTAAAAGAATTGTTGGCATATTGGCTTAAAAACTGGAGAGGTATTGGAAATACAGCTCTGCTAGATGGAATTGGACACAACTGTACGTTGTAGTGTAGTATTGTACTAGTAACAATCTTCCTAATGGCTAATGCCCTATTAAAATATGAATAAATAATAATAATGTTTGTTGGAGAGGAAGTCAAAGGACACGAGTCACATGACCTCAACACACACGTACTGCAAGTCTGAAGTAGAGAGCTCGAGCAGTCATGCTTGCAGCAACATCATTCGTTCGTAAACGCACTTTGCTACAACATTTGGTAGATTTTCGGCGATTCTCAAAGGAACCCACCAAAATTGGCGACAAGCTTAGCGATTTTTCTACAAGTCTCGTTTTCGACGAATTTTTCGGTCGGGCGATTTGGGGAAAGCCTAGTCAGAACCATTGCATGTTAGACATTGAACATGCTAGGTTGTGGTTATTATGTTCATGTAGCTAAATCTCCAGGAGAATGAACTTTGTATGCTTCATTCTTTTCTGAACGGGCAAACGTGCTTATCATTGGACACCCTTGGCAAAAAACGTTATGTTGTAACGGTATTACAGTATTAAAGGGGAAAACACCGAGATTTGGGTTCGACATTTAGCAAGATGCATGTTAATTTTGGTACACTGTTGCCATGAGTATAGCTTTTATTTCATGCGGTACAACCATTCATGGCACCATATACGCGATACAAGGTGAAATAAGTACGCACTACGCAATATTTGGCCTAAAAACGTACCGTTTGTCACAACGATAAATCAGCCCAAATAGGGTTAGGGTTAGGGTTAGAAATTATTAAGAATGCTAGGCCAACCAGAATGCCGGCTTCGCCACCTGGTGCCTTGTGTCAATATTGCAGACGCTCCGACCGACACCATTCATGACACCATATACGCGATACAAGGTGAAATGAGTACGCACAACGCAATATTTGGCCTAACATTGTCAAAAACGAAAAATCAGCCCCCATAAAGCGGGACTCACTGAAGCTTTTTTGCGATGCGACAGCCGCGAAACCGGGAAATCCCCCCAATCGCAGCCATCTCGCACCCCACGCAACTGCCGCAACTGGGCCATCGCAGAAGTTGAGCTTGGCTCAACTTTTGCGATGGAACAAGCGACTTGGCGTACGATTTTGACCTTTTCCACAGCAAAGTTTCAAGAGTTGCCTATAAATTTGTACAAGTTGTACCAAACCGCGCGAATACCATGGTGACGGACCCACCTGCATTGAACTTCGTGCCAAATCAGCAAGGCGTTGTCGCATCGCCGACTTCTTCTGTGAATGATATCTCGCGAGTTCGCATCGCACGCGTCCGTCGCAGATCACGTCGCATCGCGTGTCGCATCGCAAAAAAGCTTCTGTGAACCCCGCTTAACGTGTTTACGCTGCAGCTTCAACACTCTTTGGGTGATCAAGGTATGAGTACCATTACCGTTGTTTGCTAAGGGTGTCTATCAACCAGGATTCGCACTAAACTTGAACCATTCTCAATCTTCAAGTAGATTGTGGGGAAAGTCGATCCAATCTCCAAATATCAAAGAGATTATAGGGACAGTGCTTGTCACTTACTGGTGGATGATAAGTTTGGAAGTGGTTTGGCACAATTTCTCAAAACAAGAAACAGAAGTTGGTTATGGTCGGGAAGGAAGTGCAAGCTCGGCATACAAAACGTGGATTATGGAGGAAGTCATTTGGCAGATTATCCAAAGTCAGAAAGATATTTACGGAGGGAATTATGAGATTAATCAAACGAATAAAGTAGAGAATAATTGATCCATCAAATTTCGGAATCGAGAGGCAAGCCCTCGGCCTTCAACAGCCTTTGACGGCTTCAAATGGAAACCTTTTCTATCAACAGAAACTACAACTACAACTTTCCCATTTTCTTGCATTTTCACTTTCCCTTGAATCAATATTTGTACGCAAACCCTGCTTTGGGTGCAACTCCCTGATGTTTGTCAATTAGAGGGTTCTTGCTCAAAATACAGATTCGTTCTTTCTGATCGAGATCAAGTTCTTACGATGAATCAAGGCAGCAACCAACCCAATGTTTATTTTCTTGTGAAGCTCTAACCTCAGGCCGTCGTAGTGAAACAGAAGATTCCAGATTCAAGCCCTGCTTGGACATGGATTATTGTCAACCATGCTGAGACCCACAGTTATCCATAAGTTCTTGGTCTGGCGTGTGGGTAACATGGGTGCAGCTTACAGACTACCGATAACATGTGGCGGAAACGAAACGTTTCCAAGGCGATTTGGTGACGTCACATTACAGGAACTTTGCCAGCGGAAACCTTTTCCTGTCGTGGCTGTGCATTGAAAGCAGCCGTCCCAGCAGTAAAAAGAGTAGAGCCTGTCGCTTTAAACGGTCAGCATGTGCATGTTTCAAGTAATTTTTGCACGAAACGTCAAAGTTTTCCTTTCTTTGTCTTCATGGACTCTGTGTCCATTTTGTAATGCCGAAGTCCTAGTTCAACTATAACAGGGATGAAGAGATCATGCATCTATTTGTTGAAGTGTTTACCAGTTCCCCTGGGATAAATCTGGCCACTGCTGAGAAACAAACCCTGATTGCTCAAAAACTCAATGTTGAATTAAAGAATAGAATTGGTTGTTCATGCTGGTGACCTGCTGACTTGTGCATGTGGTGCCGATATGATCACGATAATCAATCAATGAATGATGACAACAAAATCGATGGAAACTTTGTTTGAACTTTGCGCAGTGCAGCGAAAGATTTACGGAATGAAGATTCAACCTGCCCCGCCATATTGCAGTTGATATGGCAAAAGCTGCTTAGGCTTGCGTACGGTAAATTCTCTTCTCGGGTCCACACCGTGAATATCGCTCCCTGTTTATCACCAAGCACGGTTTGATGGATGTTAGTGTAGTCTGAATGGGTCCTAAGGGGATTCTAGTCTCTGACCACTTTATGGTGGGTCTGATCTCAGTAATCTACTCACCTAACATCGCTTCAGAGTTCAGACCCATCTAGGACAACTCAAATACCGCCGTATAGCACATAGAGAGTTGTTCGCCAATGATGATTTGAAAATCCTTTTAGTGTATTCACACTGGGAAGCAGATATGAACCTGAAGTAAACACCATGAACTCGGATCGTCTTAAGATACATTGGATAAGGTTGGGATTGAGGTCAGGGTTAGCACTAGGGTTAGGGCTTGGGTTGGGGTTAGGGCTAGGGCTAGGGCCAGGGTTAGGGCTAGGGCTAGGGTTAGGGTTCGGGTTAGGGTTAGGGTTAGGTAGATGTCTGATTTTTGTTTTTAGGAAATAGTGCGAGGCTCCAGTACATTGTACATTGCCTGTCTGGTTGAAGTTCTTACTCGGACCTGGAACTATTTCTGTACTTTCCTGTCTGTCTGTCATTGCTACTTTCCAGCATCAGACTCACCATGCTGATGTGGCACATTGGCTGATTGGAGGAATTTCACTTTGTCATTTACAAGTGGCTGTTGTATCCGAGGTTAGTTCTTCTCTGTTGTCACTCGTGAAGCACGGCGCTGTGAGTTGATAGACCTACAATATTCGCCAATACCTTCTGCAGCAGCTGCTGATGCTGTTACTGAATGCTACTGAACTGTGGACGTTTGCTGCTGATTAGACTTGCCTTGAGCTCATAGATATGAGCAATGATGCATGTACATGTAATACTATTTCTTCCTTTTCACATCGAATAGCAATCTGGAGATTGAACATGAAAATGGGTCCACCGTTAAAGTCCTCAAATAGGTACGCACCCAAGACTTGTACGTTTGTCACCTTATTGTCAGTGTCCACAGCAGTTGAATTTAGACCAATAACACTGCACTAAATGCAAGCGCGTACACTCTTCAGGATGAACACCTTGTCTATACATCCACAATATAAAGTGACTGATACGCTATGCTCAACTTCAGTCTAAAAGTTACTTCAAGCCCCAAAGTGCACACAGTGCCTGATGATTGGTATGGGTGTGACCATATACAGTGGTGCGTACTTATTTACGGACTTTCACAGTGTTAGTTTTCAGGATAAGAACTGAACCAACTGATTACCCTACTAAGTTCTGCAATTCACAAACTTCTTTCATTGAATTTGATCTTCAATTGTTAGTAATTCCTGTTGTCATTTTGACCAACACACATTTCTGAGGCAGTTTACTGTCCTATAGGAATGTTGCGCATGCCGATCTCATTTTCTTCCTCACCTCTCGTAACTCAATTCCTATCACACTTATGTCACACCACGACTCCAAAATGTGCTTTCAGTCGGACCAGTCCACTTCTACATGACTACCATTGCAAAGACCCTTTCTTTCAGATATTGCTAGTGCAGGCCATCCAGACAGCTCGATATGCTGGAAGTTGTTTTGTGGAGTCGGCCAAGAGCTCATTGTGGAGTCGCAGAGTGACTGATATTGGTTTTATGAAATGACCAAGTGTGTCACTTATTCTTCTTTTTTTAAATTACATTTCTTGCTTCCCTAAACGTACATGTATCTGTTCAAATTACCACTGATAGTGTCCTTCTTTCTTCATTCAGTTTCCTTCTTTGCCCGTAAAAAGCGGCAACCGTGCCCGTAAAAGCGGCAACCGGGCCCGTAAAAGCGGCAACCGGGCCCGTAAAAGCGGCAAACGTGCCCGTAAAAGCGGCAAACGTGCCCGTAAAAGCGGCAAACGTGCCCGTAAAAGCGGCAAACGTGCCCGTAAAAGCGGCAAACGTGCCCGTTAAGGTGGCGACACTGGTCCCAGATGTGTCAGCTATGCCTGAATAGTGGCATTTATGCCGCTAAGAGTGACGATGTTGAAATATGTTCGTTAACAACGCATAACATATAAACAAAAACCACTTCCCTGCATCAGTTTTATGTTCCTTGAACTGTATTTTCCTTCTCAACTAGTTAAAACCCTCAACTTGACTTCTATAATATGACCTTACTCAGTTCATATGTACGAGATAGCAGGATTACCTTCAAAAGACTTACATGCTTGTATGTGACTGCAACGTTGACTTACAAAACGTTATTTTCCCAAGATGATTGAATATTAATCCAATCACTTTTCGACGTCAAACCCAAATCAACTTGAGGTGAAATCTGCACTGTTCATACCTTAAAATAGAAAAATGCTCTTCAGAAAAAGAGATACAAATATCAGGAACATACTCTGATGCAGGGAAAGGGTTTAGGTATTCATTAGGGTTCAGGGTTCGGGTTAGGGTGAGTGTAAGCGAACAAACCCTGATATGGGAAACATTCAACCCCAGACCTTGATTGCAAGAAAGTGATTTCTGGTGCAAGATACAAACCCTGTTGCAAGACAGTAGGCATGGGAACTTTTGCCACAAGCCAACTTGACCGCAAACACGAAAAACACCTCATGTACTCAGGTCAGTCCGTCAGTCCGTCAGGAGATGAACTTCTCACTACTTTCTTGCATCAGGATTTAGTTTCTAGCATCAGTTATTGGCACTTTTGGCAATTGCCTTCTATTTTTATGGACATTCAGTATCTTGGAATCATTTTTGCAGTTGTACGGTGTACGGCATCAAGGGATTCAAACCCAATAGGAGAAATAGTCAACCCCAGGCTTTCATTCTAACCCTGATGCAAGAGAGTAAATCCTGATGCTAGAAAGTAAAACCCTGATGCTAGAAAGTACGGTTGCCAAAATCCTGATGCTAGGGTTAGGGTTAGGGTTAGGGTTAGGGTTAGGGTTAGGGTTAGGGTTAGGGTTAGGGTTAGGGTTAGGGTTAGGGTTAGGGTTAGGGTTAGGGTTAGGGTTAGGGTTAGGGTTAGGGTTAGGGTTAGGGTTAGGGTTAGGGTTAGGGTTAGGGTTAGGGTTAGGGTTAGGGTTAGGGTTAGGGTTAGGGTTAGGGTTAGGGTTAGGGTTAGGGTTAGGGTTAGGGTTAGGGTTAGGGTTAGGGTTAGGGTTAGGGTTAGGGTTAGGGTTAGGGTTAGGGTTAGGGTTAGGGTTAGGGTTAGGGTTAGGGTTAGGGTTAGGGTTAGGGTTAGGGTTAGGGTTAGGGTTAGGGTTAGGGTTAGGGTTAGGGTTAGGGTTAGGGTTAGGGTTAGGGTTAGGGTTAGGGTTAGGGTTAGGGTTAGGGTTAGGGTTAGGGTTAGGGTTAGGGTTAGGGTTAGGGTTAGGGTTAGGGTTAGGGTTAGGGTTAGGGTTAGGGTTAGGGTTAGGGTTAGGGTTAGGGTTAGGGTTAGGGTTAGGGTTAGGGTTAGGGTTAGGGTTAGGGTTAGGGTTAGGGTTAGGGTTAGGGTTAGGGTTAGGGTTAGGGTTAGGGTTAGGGTTAGGGTTAGGGTTAGGGTTAGGGTTAGGGTTAGGGTTAGGGTTAGGGTTAGGGTTAGGGTTAGGGTTAGGGTTAGGGTTAGGGTTAGGGTTAGGGTTAGGGTTAGGGTTAGGGTTAGGGTTAGGGTTAGGGTTAGGGTTAGGGTTAGGGTTAGGGTTAGGGTTAGGGTTAGGGTTAGGGTTAGGGTTAGGGTTAGGGTTAGGGTTAGGGTTAGGGTTAGGGTTAGGGTTAGGGTTAGGGTTAGGGTTAGGGTTAGGGTTAGGGTTAGGGTTAGGGTTAGGGTTAGGGTTAGGGTTAGGGTTAGGGTTAGGGTTAGGGTTAGGGTTAGGGTTAGGGTTAGGGTTAGGGTTAGGGTTAGGGTTAGGGTTAGGGTTAGGGTTAGGGTTAGGGTTAGGGTTAGGGTTAGGGTTAGGGTTAGGGTTAGGGTTAGGGTTAGGGTTAGGGTTAGGGTTAGGGTTAGGGTTAGGGTTAGGGTTAGGGTTAGGGTTAGGGTTAGGGTTAGGGTTAGGGTTAGGGTTAGGGTTAGGGTTAGGGTTAGGGTTAGGGTTAGGGTTAGGGTTAGGGTTAGGGTTAGGGTTAGGGTTAGGGTTAGGGTTAGGGTTAGGGTTAGGGTTAGGGTTAGGGTTAGGGTTAGGGTTAGGGTTAGGGTTAGGGTTAGGGTTAGGGTTAGGGTTAGGGTTAGGGTTAGGGTTAGGGTTAGGGTTAGGGTTAGGGTTAGGGTTAGGGTTAGGGTTAGGGTTAGGGTTAGGGTTAGGGTTAGGGTTAGGGTTAGGGTTAGGGTTAGGGTTAGGGTTAGGGTTAGGGTTAGGGTTAGGGTTAGGGTTAGGGTTAGGGTTAGGGTTAGGGTTAGGGTTAGGGTTAGGGTTAGGGTTAGGGTTAGGGTTAGGGTTAGGGTTAGGGTTAGGGTTAGGGTTAGGGTTAGGGTTAGGGTTAGGGTTAGGGTTAGGGTTAGGGTTAGGGTTAGGGTTAGGGTTAGGGTTAGGGTTAGGGTTAGGGTTAGGGTTAGGGTTAGGGTTAGGGTTAGGGTTAGGGTTAGGGTTAGGGTTAGGGTTAGGGTTAGGGTTAGGGTTAGGGTTAGGGTTAGGGTTAGGGTTAGGGTTAGGGTTAGGGTTAGGGTTAGGGTTAGGGTTAGGGTTAGGGTTAGGGTTAGGGTTAGGGTTAGGGTTAGGGTTAGGGTTAGGGTTAGGGTTAGGGTTAGGGTTAGGGTTAGGGTTAGGGTTAGGGTTAGGGTTAGGGTTAGGGTTAGGGTTAGGGTTAGGGTTAGGGTTAGGGTTAGGGTTAGGGTTAGGGTTAGGGTTAGGGTTAGGGTTAGGGTTAGGGTTAGGGTTAGGGTTAGGGTTAGGGTTAGGGTTAGGGTTAGGGTTAGGGTTAGGGTTAGGGTTAGGGTTAGGGTTAGGGTTAGGGTTAGGGTTAGGGTTAGGGTTAGGGTTAGGGTTAGGGTTAGGGTTAGGGTTAGGGTTAGGGTTAGGGTTAGGGTTAGGGTTAGGGTTAGGGTTAGGGTTAGGGTTAGGGTTAGGGTTAGGGTTAGGGTTAGGGTTAGGGTTAGGGTTAGGGTTAGGGTTAGGGTTAGGGTTAGGGTTAGGGTTAGGGTTAGGGTTAGGGTTAGGGTTAGGGTTAGGGTTAGGGTTAGGGTTAGGGTTAGGGTTAGGGTTAGGGTTAGGGTTAGGGTTAGGGTTAGGGTTAGGGTTAGGGTTAGGGTTAGGGTTAGGGTTAGGGTTAGGGTTAGGGTTAGGGTTAGGGTTAGGGTTAGGGTTAGGGTTAGGGTTAGGGTTAGGGTTAGGGTTAGGGTTAGGGTTAGGGTTAGGGTTAGGGTTAGGGTTAGGGTTAGGGTTAGGGTTAGGGTTAGGGTTAGGGTTAGGGTTAGGGTTAGGGTTAGGGTTAGGGTTAGGGTTAGGGTTAGGGTTAGGGTTAGGGTTAGGGTTAGGGTTAGGGTTAGGGTTAGGGTTAGGGTTAGGGTTAGGGTTAGGGTTAGGGTTAGGGTTAGGGTTAGGGTTAGGGTTAGGGTTAGGGTTAGGGTTAGGGTTAGGGTTAGGGTTAGGGTTAGGGTTAGGGTTAGGGTTAGGGTTAGGGTTAGGGTTAGGGTTAGGGTTAGGGTTAGGGTTAGGGTTAGGGTTAGGGTTAGGGTTAGGGTTAGGGTTAGGGTTAGGGTTAGGGTTAGGGTTAGGGTTAGGGTTAGGGTTAGGGTTAGGGTTAGGGTTAGGGTTAGGGTTAGGGTTAGGGTTAGGGTTAGGGTTAGGGTTAGGGTTAGGGTTAGGGTTAGGGTTAGGGTTAGGGTTAGGGTTAGGGTTAGGGTTAGGGTTAGGGTTAGGGTTAGGGTTAGGGTTAGGGTTAGGGTTAGGGTTAGGGTTAGGGTTAGGGTTAGTAGGGTTAGGGTTAGGGTTAGGGTTAGGGTTAGGGTTAGGGTTAGGGTAGGGTTAGGGTTAGGGTTAGGGTTAGGGTTAGGGTTAGGGTTAGGGTTAGGGTTAGGGTTAGGGTTAGGGTTAGGGTTAGGGTTAGGGTTAGGGTTAGGGTTAGGGTAGTGGTATGGGTTAGGGTTAGGGTTAGGGTTAGGGTTAGGGTTAGGGTTAGGGTTAGGGTTAGGGTTAGGGTTAGGGTTAGGGTTAGGGTTAGGGTTAGGGTTAGGGTTAGGGTTAGGGTTAGGGTTAGGGTTAGGGTTAGGGTTAGGGTTAGGGTTAGGTTGGGTTAGGGTTAGGGTTAGGGTTAGGGTTAGGGTTAGGGTTAGGGTTAGGGTTAGGGTTAGGGTTAGGGTTAGGGTTAGGGTTGGGTTAGGGTTAGGTTAGGGTTAGGGTTAGGGTTAGGGTTAGGGTTAGGGTTAGGGTTAGGGTTAGGGTTAGGTTAGGGTTAGGGTTAGGGTTAGGGTTAGGGTTAGGGTTAGGGTTAGGGTAGGGTTAGGGTTAGGGTTAGGGTTAGGGTTAGGGTTAGGGTTAGGGGTTAGGGTTAGGGTTAGGGTTAGGGTTAGGGTTAGGGTTAGGGTTAGGGTTAGGGTTAGGGTTAGGGTTAGGGTTAGGGTTAGGGTTAGGGTATGGGTTAGGGTTAGGGTTAGGGTTAGGGTTAGGGTAGGGTTAGGGTTAGGGTTAGGGTTAGGGTTAGGGTTAGGGTTAGGGTTAGGGTTAGGGTTAGGGTTAGGGTTAGGGTTAGGGTTAGGGTTAGGGTTAGGGTTAGGGTTAGGGTTAGGGTTAGGGTTAGGGTTAGGGTTAGGGTTAGGGTTAGGGTTAGGGTTAGGGTTAGGGTTAGGGTTAG